TGTTAGCATTTATTCCATGTCAGGAATAATTTTGTACAGATTTTGAACAATATGATGTGAGTGAGTAAATAATGCCAGAATATTTATCTTTACCAAATTTGGAAAAACAAAAACACTGGGAAAGTACAATACGGATGTGAAGAAGACATAGTGAATCAGATGGCAAAGTCATGAGATACGCCTGATTATTTACATGCAATTGTAACTTTCTGAGGCTGAGGTTGGTCTTTTTGAAAATGTCACGATCTGTAAATGGGTTTTGAGCTTGACATGCAAATGACAGCAGAGAGAACATTACTGTGGAAATTGTATTGCTCAGCGGATACTCTTACATAGCTCAGCATACTTTAAGGGTTAGATCACCCACAATTTAAGGATTCAGTATTTACCCACTTAACATGTAATCTGTCAATGTAAATGATAAAAAAAAAAAAAAAAATGATTTCCCTAGATTTACATTGAGGCAGGGACTTAAGTCTAATAGAGACCAGAATATCATAGCCTTAAGGATGGACTCTTTTAAATTTGGCCAGTAAGCAAGAACACCATAGCAACGCCCTAACAACCACCCAGACCACTTTCACGACAGGAAAGCAACATGTTTGAAAACACCCATAACACTATAGTAATTACACACAAACTCTCTGACAACCACCTGATCATCTACTTTGCAATGCCATAGCCACAACCTAGCAACACCCTTTCAACCTTCTCTAGCAACCATTTAGCAATGCTCTAATAACCACCCAGAACACCCTTGCAACAGCAAATCAAGGTGCTAAAATCAACCACCTGAGCATCCACCTTACTCAAAATACCTTAGCAACCGCATAGCAACACCCTACCAACCACCTCCCACATCACCCTAGCAACCACACAGAAGGCAAGGCAAGTTTATTCATAAGGCACATTTCATACACAATACTAGTAATTAAAAGTGCTTTACATAATCAAGGTCAAGTTTGAAATAATTTAAAATAATCAACATAAAAATTAACAAAGAACAAGAAAAGAAATCAACGCTTATTTAAAACTGGAATAAAATGAATAATAAGGCTAAGCAACTCGAAACAACATGTCTAAACTCAGGGCTCAGGGTTTCATAACTACACAAGTCACATCTCAGAACAACTCAGAACGTCAGTGGAGAAAGTTATAGTTTATCATAACATCGTAATATACATCATACACCCACTATATTGCTTAATCTACCCAATTTTTCATATCAACAGAAAAATGATACCTCTACAAGGTAGCGACATATTAGTTTAAGACATGCTTTTTTTTTAGGTTAAATAATGGCGCAAACACCAGTAAATTGACGAGCGCAAACCTTTGTAAATCACCTTGCATGATTTATTTAAATATTTTTAAATGAAATGCTGGTCAGAGCTGGTATTGTGCTAGTTTAGCTGGTCCAGCAATCCCACTTCCCATGCCGAGGACCAGCAACCAGCATCCCATGCTGATCCCAGCTTGCTAAACATATGATGGTGACCAGCATTTCTCAAATCTAGACATTATGATTACATTATCAGGACTGCCCTGCTGGCACAATGATGTCATCTCTGTGAGCCCCCTGCTCTCTATCTCTCTATCTCTCTCTTTCCGGTCTATTAATGACTGGGCGTGTGTGTATTTTAAAGGAGGACCGCTTTACAGTGTGTGTGTGTGTGCGGCGTGTGTGTGTGTATATGTGTCCGATTTGCTGGCTGTTGTAGAAAGGAGGTGGTCTCCTCCTCTGGAGACTCCCAGAATCGTGAAAGATGCAGCACTTGATAGATGGATTGGAGGTAAAATGTTTCTCTTATTTCCATTTCTCTCTCCTTCTTCCATCTTCCGCCAGCTGTTTGTGGAATATCGGAGGAGGATCTCTGGGGAATGTGTTTAGCAGTGTCCTGACATTACTAGCCAGCGGTAATTGCTTTTACTAATGCATGGCGGTGTTTATTACTTGCGTACTCTAGTAGGGATGTGTTTGCCGTAGACTGCTAGTAGTCATCTGAGCTTTTGTTTGTAGGAATGACATAAGTAAATCAGCGGTGTTAAACCTCAGAGAAATGTCGTTCGGCTTGGTCACATCTCTGGAAGTGGCTGTGAGAGAATGTAGAGGTGTTTTACGCCTGGTTGCCGTTGTGGTCACCGGCTGTATTTGTTTGTGTTATGCAGCGTATGTAAGTTATTTTTAGTTGTTGGAGAACAGCTGCCGACTGACAGGGCTGGAGCAGAACTGGCTCAAAATACAGCATGCAGTCTTTTAACTTTGGGCAATGCCAGTGTTAGTCCAGTTTGAAAATGTCCCTCTGAGGGCTGACTCCCTTCTGGAGTGTTGTCATGCAGCTCGTAAACTGAGATTAATATAGGTTTTAATACACTTGCCTGTGTATATCTGCAGAGGCCTTCCACAGTGTTTACATCTTTATATCAGACAATCAGATTGTCCTGAACAGTAGGTGGCAGCAATCGCATTGCTGTATAATGCAATACTTTGAACTGTAGGAGAGGAAGAGTTGAGAGCTGTGTCATGCTAATTACCATTCTACCTAATTATTAAGTATAATCACAGTATCTTTTCTCAATGGTGTTTTTGCCTTAATTTGTATAGCGGATAGTGAACAGGAAGCAAAGTGTGAGAGAAAGAGAGGGATGTGAACAGAAAGGACCATGAGCTGGTATTTGAATTTGGTTTGGCCACAAGGTTTATTGAAACTGTGTACAATTTGGCTATCCCTAGAAATGAACAAAAATATGACAAAAACTTTGGATTAGAAAAATGAATATAACAAATAAATAAATGTTGTGTTTTTAATCAAGATTTGGGTTAATGTTAAGGCCCATTCACACCTAGGACGTTTATTATAACAATCCACCTGACTTGAAAGAGCTTAAGCATTTAAAGCGTCAGACGACAAAACTGCAGTGCGCTTATACTGTAATAAACAGAATGTCATTGTCCGTTTGTGGACACTATGGAAGTAATAGTAACCACAGAATAAAAAATAAAAAGGTAATTGCAAGTTTTTATCTCACAATTCAGACTTTTTATCTCACAATTGTAAGAATTGCGTGATATAAAGTCGCAATTGCGAGTTATAAAGTCAGAATTGCGTGATATAAAGTAGCAATTGCGAGTTATAAAGTCAGAATTGTGAGAATTCTGACTTTATATTTAGCAATTCTGAGAAATAAAGTAAGAATTGCGAGATGTAAACGCGCAATTGTGAGATAAAAAGTCACAATTATCTTTTACAATGTTTTATTCAGTGGCGGAAACAAGCTTCCATAGAACACCAGTGTTATTGTTACATAAATATTATTATTGGTAATAATACGCTCGGCCGCCAACGTGATGCACCAGGAATCTTGTTCCCCAGGCCAGGCCACTTTCCAATCATCCACAGTCCAAGCTCAATGATATTGGGCCTATTTCATGCATTGCTGGCGATGTCGTACAGTTAGCATGGGGACCCGGCTGGGTCGTCGGCTGCGATAGGCCCATATGCAGAAGGCTGCGATGAACTGTGTGCTGTCACACATTTACCCGGTCACCTCTGTTGTAACTGCTGGTGATCTGTCGCACTGTGGTCCTGTAGTCGCTGTGAAAAATGCACGACAGTCTCCACTCCCCTCTGGCATCAATGAGCTGCTGACACACTCGACCGGATCACGGTTCGTCGTTTGGCCATCTGTGCACCAATTTTGATATGTATTGACTACAGTCTATAAGTACCATCACAATTTGTCTTTTATCAAACTCCGATAAATCGGCAGCTTTTCCATTCTGACACGTAACAAGTATTCTGACCGAAAGCCGGTGTAGTGCCGAATTTCGACCCCTGCCAAATTACTACCCCCCTAGTATTGGTAGGTTTAGGATTAGTTGTGGGGGAGGGTTAGGATTATGGGTGGGGTTAGGATTAGGCAATCAGGTACTGACTTCAACGAGGGGGGTAATAATTTGGCAGGGAGTCGAAATTCGGCACAACACCGGTCCTCGAGTGGTATATATTCTGCACTGATTGCTCAAGTGTGTACATAATTTAATGGCTCATCCGTGTATAAGGCTTTAGTTTGTAGTAAATGGATCATTTCTATCAGACCTTGAAAGTTCTTTAGACACATAAACTGCGTTTCCACCCGAAATTACCACCGTTTCCACCGTGGTCTAGAGTACCGTGAAGATTTGGCAAATAGTCCGGTCACGTAGGACTGCGCGCTACTTTCCAGTTCCCGCTGGATTTCATCCTCTAAATTTAAGCTTAATAAAGTCTAATCCTCGTCGTCGGTCCACAGGTCCTATTTTTTTAACTCCATTGTTGATTCGAATAGCAAACAACTGTTACTGCACATACCGCAACAGTCTTTAAAAAATGGTGGTTGAAATAAAAAACGCTGTGTGAACTCAACCAATCAGCACGTTCAGGGCCCAAGTCCCACCCCTGAAAGTTCCTGTACTTTGAAAAAGTACTACCTCGCAAGCAGGGACTTTGTGAGGGGGAAATATTGTCCATTGTCAATAATGTAGTAGACAGAAGTCACTTAAAAAACAAAACAAATAGCTTTCTGTTGGTCCGTGTTACCAACTTAAACCTGTTGCAAAATTGTAAGAAGAAATGTCAGATCGTGTGGATTCCTATTGAAATGACTGGATTTCGAAAATGTGTAGAACAATGGTAAATGTGACTGCACTTTAAGTCTGGCTTTTCTTTAGCATGCAGCTTGTGCTGAAGTATTTGTTCAGGTTTTAATTGCACGCATGAAGCCTGTGAGTAGCAGGATGCTTGGATATTTTGTGTGTGAAGTTAAACAGCAGACTTATGAATTGGTTTGAAGTTTTGAAACTGCTATAGTCTCTGTCATGTTTAATACTCATGTTTAAGCTGTTTCTATGCATCCTTTATTGTGATGATGTAGAAGACATTATAAAGCTGCAGTACTTTGTATAAAAGCTTGACTTTGTTTCAAATAAATGTACAAAAAAATGATTTGTGTTTGTGCAGGTGGATAAGCAGAAGCAGAGTAAGGATTCTGTGTACTTCAGAGATGGCGTACGGAGGATAGATTTTGTTCTGTCTTACATCGATGACAAGGATGGAGAAAAGAAACAGGTTTGTTATCCACAACATTTGGCTTCCCTCTGTGACCTGTGTGTGTGTGTGTGTGTGTGTGTGTGTGTGTGTGTGTGTGTGTGTAGGGGTCATTTGCTAAACAAATTACTAACTTGTAAACTATATAGTAATCCTACAAAACAATGACTGATCCTAATCATTATAAATAATTATTAGCACTGAGTCAGACTTTCTGCAAGCCACTAATGAAAAAACATGTTAGTAAATGTTACACATTTTGGGTCAAATGAGTTTTGTGGTTTAATCTCAATATAGATCTGTTCAAGGTCTATATCGGACTGTGTATATCTTCACACTGCTGATAACACTACTTGTCATAAACATTTAAGGCATCCTAGATAAACTTTCTCATGGTAAATCTTCCACCAAGATAAAAGTTGTCAGACAAAGTCAGGTTCTCCTCTTTAAGTGATAGTGCTTAGTACTTGTATCTTTGATTTGATAAGCCTACTGTACATAATTTACGTCGCATTAAGAAAAGAGTTCAATATTGGTCATGTAATTTATTAAAGGCACACATTGTGTTAAAAATTACACTGAAAATTCCAAAAAGAAAATGCGCACTTTAAACACCTGGATGGTGCCCTAAATTAACAGAAAAAACGAACTGTGGAATGTTGCAACTTTAAATACGTAGCTTTTTAGACTCCGATGTTGAATAGCAAAATGACCTTATCAAGTTTATACACTACACGGATGAGTATAATACATGAGTACATGAAGTATAAGTGTATAGTGCATCATTAGGGACACAGCTTTAGTGCAGTGAAATATTAGTCACAAATACACAATTATATCCACCAAAATATCAGTAGTAAAAAGATATGAAATTTATTAGTTACAATCACACATGTAGACAATGGTAAAAAGCTTTCAACTCTGTCCTCCAGATGAGCACTGTCCCCTCAGTAGCCCCCAAACTGTGCTGTCAGCCCTTACTTTGTGAAGTCTCACACCACTTTGTGTGTGTGTGTGTGTGTGTGTGTGTGTGTGTGTGTGTGTGTGTGTGTGTCATAGTCTTGTGTACTTCCACATTCTTGTTACTCATAAATTATGTGCTTTACTCACACACACTTCACACACACTTCACACACATACAGCTCTGCAGACAGAAATAATCTTGTCATAAGTAGTTACCAGAAACCCCTCCTGTACTATGTACTACACTCACCGGCCACTTTATTAGGTACCCCATGCTAGTAACGGGTTGGACCCCCTTTTGCCTTCAGAACTGCCTCAATTCTTCGTGGCATAGATTCAACAAGGTGCTGGAAGCATTCCTCAGGGAATTTGGTCCATATTGACATGATGGCATCACACAGTTGCCGCAGATTTGTCGGCTGCACATCCATGATGCGAATCTCCCGTTCCACCACATCCCAAAGATGCTCTATTGGGTTGAGATCTGGTGACTGTGGAGGCCATTTTAGTACAGTGAACTCATTGTCATGTTCAAGAAACCAATTTGAAATGATTAGAGCTTTGTGACATGGTGGAAGTAGCCATCAGAGGATGGGTACATGGTGGCCATAAAGGGATGGACATGGTCAGAAACAATGCTCAGGTAGGCCGTGGCATTTAAACGATGCCCAATTGGCACTAAGGGGCCTAAAGTGTGCCAGGAAAACATCCCCCACACCATTACACCACCACCACCAGCCTGCACAGTGGTAACAAGGCATGATGGTTCCATGTTCTCATTCTGTTTACGCCAAATTCTGACTCTAACATCTGAATGTCTCAACAGAAATCGAGACTCATCAGACCAGGCAACATTTTTCCAGTCTTCAACTGTTCAATTTTGGTGAGCTCTTGCAAATTGTAGCCTCTTTTTCCTATTTGTAGTGGAGATGAGTGGTCCCCGGTGGAGTCTTCTGCTGTTGTAGCCCATCCGCCTCAAGGTTGTGCGTGTTGTGGCTTCACAAATGCTTTGCTGCATACCTCGGTTGTAACGAGTGGTTATTTCAGTCACTGTTGCCCTTCTATCAGCTCGAACCAGTCTGGCCATTCTCCTCTGACCTCTGGCATCAACAAGGCATTTCCGCCCACAGAACTGCCGCTCACTGGATGTTTTTTCTTTTTCGGACCATTCTCTGTAAACCCTAGAGATGGTTGTGCGTGGAAATCCCAGTAGATTAGCAGTTTCTGAAATACTCAGACCAGCCCTTCTGGCACCAACAATCATGCCACGTTCAAAGTCACTCAAATCAACTTTCTTCCCCATACTGATGCTCGGTTTGAACTGCAGGAGATTGTCTTGACCATGTCTACATGCCTAAATGCACTGAGTTGCCGCCATGTGATTGGCTGCTTAGAAATTAAGTGTTAACGAGCAGTTGGACAGGTGTACCTAATAAAGTGGCCGGTGAGTGTATGTACTATGTATTGCACCAAAAGCACAACTCTGTGATTGTCAGATGTGTTATTGATCTTTCATGCAGGATCGAAGGAAGGAGTTTGAGGCTAACTTACAGAAAGCCGGACTTGACCTGGAGACTGAGGACAAATCTGTGAGTAAAACAATTCACAAATGCCATCAAAACGCCATTTCAGGATATCGATATGTCATCAGATTAGTTCTCACTGTATCTCACAAATAAATATATTAATTCATAAGCACTAGATTATTATGATTTCCGCAATGTCTGATCATTAGCAATATATTTCAACGTATTTGTTTAGCTGGGATACAATATAAAGGATTGTTTTAGCAGTTAGTATCCATTAGAGGGCAGCGAACTTCATGATAACACACAACTCAACTCAACTTTATTTCTAGAGCACTTTCAAAAACCACAATGGGTACCAAAGTGCTGTACATGAGAATAACAAACAAGCTCTATCACCTCTACATTTCAAGCGCGATCGACAGACACAGCTGGTCATTGGAGCGAAGAGATCTCAAAGGTTGATGTAAACTAATTAAATCCGAGATATACTCAGGTGCTAAGCCTGGAGAGATTTGAAAACATATAATAACACTTTATCAAGTTCAAGTTCAGTTTATTTGTCTAGCACATACAAAAGCCGCACGACTGACCGAAGTGTTGTACAGAGGTTCAAAAGAAAGGAAAAAGGTAAACAAACAACACAGCTTAAACACAGTAAAAAAAAGTTCATTAACAATAAAAAAATTAAATAAAAAAAATATACAAGCCATGGAAAACAAGTGCGTTTTTAGTAGAGACTTAAAAGTGGCCAAGGAAGGGGCTATCTTAATTTCTGTCAGAATTGCAGAGTCACTTTATACTGGATCCTGTATCGAATCGGTAACCAATGTAAGGGAACCAATACAGGAGTAATACGGTCTCTTCACTTTCATACAAGTTCTGTCAGGACCACTATCGTCAAATACGATTGACCATTAGCATATAGTTAGTATTGGCGGTATAGTTCTGTTCTGGGCAAGAACTCCCTGTGCATCCATGTAGCCTAGCATGGATAAGAGCAGGAGCGCAGCGATAACCCCCCTTAGAGTAAACAGAACAGAACTAACAAATGTATTGCAGAGACCCCCTGATATGATTGTAAAGCGCTTTGGGTGTACAGTTGTACATATGAAAGCGCTATATAAATGCCTCATTCATTCATTCATATCATTAATTCAAGATTTTAAGTACAACATAATTCGAGAATTTATTCTGATTCAAAGGGCACAGAATGCCAAATCCTGACTGGCGAGAGGAGGATCTGGGGATGGAGGAGGGTAATGAGCTCCTGAGAAACGCGACAGCTGCTGATAATACTGAAGGAGCTTATACATGTATACAGTGATAGGCGTCGTATTCCTATAGGTAGACGAGGATCAGCTGAGAGTCCGCTGATGCGAGTTGACTAACGTGACCTGCCAGAACTGACACGCTTAATTCTGTCATCATTTCTTGCCCTCATGTCTGTTCAAAACTGATGACTTTCATTCTTCTGCATAGCACGAGGAGACATTTTGGCAAAGAATTGGGATGGGGACCTTTGAGTTTTGAACCATAGAAACACCAGAATTCCATAGTAGGAAAAAAATATTATGGAAGTCAATGGGGCCCATTAACTGTTTGTCTACCGACATTCTTCAAACTATCTTCTTTTTACGAAAAATCTATTCCCCCTGAAACATGAATGATTGTGCTGATGCAATGTTCATTTTTACCTGCTACTGTGCATAAAAAAAAAGAAAAAAGAAAACTGTACCAGATAGGGCATTATAAAAATGTATAAACAAGTTCCCACTTTTCTTATATGTGACGTGTGTGTGTCTTCCAGGAGTCGGAAGATGGAAAGACATACTTCCTGAAGATCCACGTACCATGGGAAGTGCTGGCAACATATGCAGATGTTCTGAAAATCAAAGTGCCTTTTAAAGCCAATGATATTCCAGCTAAAAAAGAGGTGCCCATGGGCTGGCTCTTCACGCCCTACCGTCTGCCTGATCATGTGATGAACCCTGAGCCGGATTACTTCACCTACACGTTTGACAAGAGCAAGATTGACTTCTTCCTCATCGAAGATAAAGAAACCTTCTTTCCTCCGTCCACGAGGAACAGGATTGTAAGAAAAACGTTATTAGGCATTAGAAATGCCAATAAGACATAATTTTTTTTTTATATATAAAATACATTTAGTCTTCAGTGTTAGTGTCATTTGGTGCTCAAACATAATCAGTTACTGTTAGTTCTCAATTAATAATAATAATTCTTATTATTATCAATGTTGAAAACAGTTTTTGCTGCTTCATATTTTTGTGGAAACCATTTTTCAGGATTCTTTTTTAAAAGAAAGTTTAAATAAACAGCATTTATTTAAATTAGAAATCTTTTGTAAAATTATAAATGTATTTACTTTTCTCACTTATAGTCACTTTTGATCAATTGAACATGTCCTTGCTGAATAAAAGTATTTTTTTAAATCATGCTTAACCCAGACTTTTTAAGTATTTCACAGTTTCCACAAAAATATGAAGCAGCAAAAAAACGTTTTCAACATTGAATTTAGAAAATTAAAAAAATGGTTCTTGAGGACCAAATCAGCATATTAGGATTCTGAAGGATCATTTGACACTGAAGACTGAAGTTATTAGTTTTACCATCACAGGTATAAATTACATAGGAATATTATACATTACAGATGTATAAAGATATTACATTCTATTAAACAACCTCCATTACAGTGTGGTCATACTAACCTCTAAACTTCCAGAGCAGAGAAGTAGACTTTTTTAGCTTTTACTGAGGAACTGCCCTGTAACCGAAGGCTTGGCTTATTTTCTTCTCCACGTAGGTATATTACATCCTTTCCCGAATTCCATACAGTAAAGATGACAAGGACAAGAAGGGCATTAAGAGGCTTCTGAACAACGGGACCTACACATCTGGCTTCCCTCTGCATGACGTAGGTCTCTTACATGGGCAGATGTGCCTCAAAACCATCAAACCTATTGAGTCGATGTTTCTCTGGAGACTTGAAATGGTGGCAATGATTCAAAAGGTTTTGCTCCGTCGAAAAACAATAACGTCAATGTGTGTTTTTGTAGTCTAGGTACTGGACCAAGTCTCGTGATTCTAACTGTGAGAGCGAGCGCTATTCCCTGTATAAACACTGGGCCCGTTTCAGCCGCTTTTACAAGGAGCAGCCGCTCAACCTCATACGGTAAGGCCAACCGCAGCCTTGCTTTGTATTGAACTTCCTCAGAAAAGCAGCTAAAAAAAAATGTATCTTGATATTTTCAGTCTTTTTACATATTTGAGTCTTGACATATATTTATATCACTATTTAGGTATTTGGTCTCAAATGTACTTAAAGGCTGTTGTTTCTATTATTATTTATTTTTATTTTTCAATCAAGAAGAAACATCATCTTAAACAGCCATTGTTGTCACACTATGTTCAGTTGGTTTCATTACCATGAACTTTTAGTTTGTGTTTGTAAGGCTGGAAGATTACGCTGCTATTTTGAACCAATAATCGGAACAAAAGGCAGTTGAAGAATGACGTGTATAATTCAAATATTTACCTGACTCCAATATTATTAATCTGACTCCATTAAAGTTGTTGTTATTCTTGAACAGTAAAGGTCTTTCTTAGAACTGATAGGAAAACGTAGGATTTAACCTGAACGTTTAGATAACAAAAGTTATAATCACTTTAGCTTTCAACATCATCAGTGAAAAAAGGAAAGCTTCTCAAAGCCTTTAAAGCAGGCAAAGCCATTTATTAAGTTACATGTTTAAATATACAGACAGTAGAATGGAACAACATACTGTATAGAAAACTTAGTTGTAAAAATAATGCACGGTTGTGCAAACAAGGCCGTAAAAGCCTTTTCTCAGAGTGTGAGGTTATGCACCTGTGTGCCTGGGTTAAAGCCTTTATCCCAGATCAACAGTTACCTTTCCTTCTTATACCCTGAGCAAAGCATTGTTAAACATGAGTGGAATACCAACACCGAAACAGACCGACAGGAAACTAAAAGATGAGGCAAATGGGTGGTGATCAAGAGGGGGAGAAGAACATTAACATATTCTCCTCAATGCATGTTCCACCAATAGTACCTAGATTGTACATTAGGATACTTTGAAATGAATGGTGGTGAACTTAATAGACATATTAGTGTATAAGCTGTCAATAGAGACCAAACATGGCATAATTACATATTAGAACACACTAGTAAATAAACAGTATGTAGTTGAAAGCATATGTCATGTGAAGCAAATGGTACAGACGTGTCATTGAGGTCTCTCCCGACAGAACCGTCCCGTGCTTGGAGTGTCCCAACAGTCCTGAATCAGCATATTGATGAAATCCCTTGCACTAGATAAGCATTAACATAAGGCCATTGTGCCACGTTTAATTCACATGTATACATTTAAAAGGCTTTTTGAAGTACTAGGGCAGTAAGGAGTTCTGCCCATATTTGCTCAGCTCTACATGTTCATCATGTGTTCCTTTGTTCAGTTTTCCCGCTCCTCATTATTAGTTAATATATGTCAGCTGTGTTCTATTAATCATCCTCATTTGTGTTTGCTATATAAGTTAGTCCCTCACATTCATTCTCTGTCTGATCACATTACCCTAAGTGGGTGTTGCCCTGCCTGTTTGCCTGTCCTTTGGATATTTGTCATTAAACGTCGTGTTGGAACGTCTTTCTGAAACCATATATGACAGTTGTAGGCAAATAGATTCAATCTTTTTATTTACAAAAAGGTTAAAATTGTATCTAGTGTTTGTTGAAATACTTTCTTCTACCCCAGCTTAGAGACAACTATAATATAAAGGTTAGGTAGTGTGAGTTTTGGGGCAGAACTACCCTCTTGTTTGACCAAGTGTTCATGAAATCTGTTTTTGCAGTTCAGTAGCACTAGTGGGCAGAAATTCACACAGTGCAATAGCTAAAACAGTGGAAATCTAGTTAAAATCAAGACATTTTATAGATGTTTTTTACTAAATGAAAACAAGGATGAATGTTTAAACATTTTCATTTGTATGCACCAGTATAACATTACAAGTGATAAACAGCCATATATGTATATACTGAAATATTTACCGTTAAATGCCACACAGCATTTTCAAATGATGAAAATAATTAATTGAATCAGAATTATAAGTTCTATATATGTTTATCATCACTTTTTGTTACTCAAATAGACTGATGCATACTTTGCACCATAGCTTTTGTTAAAGAAATAAACTCAATATACTAAATATTAAATATAGAGAATGTGATGCATGTTACTTTTGCTGACACCTTGAGTAAGTGGATGGACATTTTCATTGAATCATTTCTGCTTCCTGTACCAAAGGAAGTACTATGGAGAGAAGATCGGCATCTACTTCGCTTGGCTGGGTTTCTACACAGAGATGCTGTCTTATGCCGCAGTTGTTGGTCTGCTCTGTTTCATCTATGGCGTGGCCACCTTTGACAACAACGTCTGGAGGTGAGGATGAGGCTAGAAATGGATGAGTGTAGAAGAAGACAGTTCATGCTAATGCCTGCTTTAGCGCCCCGCGTGGCAGTGCTGAGAGTGCAATGCACTAAGAATCACTCTGACACATTTCAGAAACACATAGAGGCCTGAGTTTGGGTTCACAGAAACAGTTTTTGTTGTCTTCTGTAGTAAAGAGATCTGCAACGAGACCATTGGTGGGCAGATTGTCATGTGTCCTCTCTGTGATAAGAAATGCGGCTACTGGAAGCTCAGCACAACCTGCAGCTCTTCGTGGGTGAGGAAAAAGTTGACATGGTGTAACTATTTTTTTATGGAGCATGTTTTTTTGCATACTTAAGTCATACCTTCTCCATCTAATTGCCTTTTAGCAATCGTATCTGTTTGACAACACAGCCACGGTGTTCTTTGCAATATTCATGGGAATATGGGGTGAGTAAAGAGTTTTTTTTTAGCTCTTTGTAACATTTGTGTGCTGGTTCTAGAATTGTTTTGCTATCTGTGTCTCTGTATTTGTTACATGAAACTACTGTCTGCTTCTCATCATAATTGTGTACAGTTGATCAGCCAATGAAAATAGGGATGGGCCATAATTTAAGAGAATGTGTTAATGTTTAGATGTAGTTTGAATTAATTTAGTTTTAATTATTATGATCATTGATAAAAATGACACATACCTTGACTAAGGTTTATAAATAGGGCTGTCACGATTCCTTGATTAAATGTGAGTACTCGAATTGAAAAAAATCTTTGTGTTTCATTGTGTTAGCTCGGTTAACAAACTCCATCTCTGCGTATGCTGTGAGTTTGGGTTGCTTATAACATCCATCTAGGAACACAACGTGCACCATTTCACCAGATTTGAAATGTAAATGGCTTAAATGCCCGCGCCAACACTGAAGAATACATCAATATGTTAATTACATGTTATTTGGCCAATGTTAAACATGGATTTGATCATGCTGTAATGTGTAATAAAAAACAATTGCCAGGCTGTTGGCGCCCTCTGCAGGCATTTTTTATAATACATAATGTACAAACATTGATTGTTTATATTATGTATATCGCTTTATGTATTTTAACAGTGTTGTATGATTACTTGCTCTTAAAACCTTATTTTAACCACTTGCCTCATTGTTATTATACAGTATAGGTATTTTAAGTAATTTTAAAGGCTGTTGTTAACGTACCACAATTATCTGATTACTCGAATAATTGTCAAAATAATCGACAGATTACTCGATTACCAAAAACATTTGTTGGTGACAGCCCTGTTTAATTAATATTCCCTTTTACTCTAATGGTAATGATGATTCTTCTACTAAAACTAGTTGTCAGTCATTAATTTGTTTTCATCACTGTCCAGATTTTCAATAAACATTGTATTTAGCATGTCATGACATCTGGTTTGCATGGAAACCATAATTTTTTTAAAGGATATATATTTTAGTACATGTTCAGGCTGTAATGTGCAGTTCTTCATGAATGCAGATGAACAATGTCTATGAATTTTAAGCTGTATTTTCCTCTGGTGTCAGTGACTCTGTTCCTGGAGTTCTGGAAGCGGCGTCAGGCCCGACTGGAGTACGAGTGGGATCTGGTTGACTTTGAGGAAGAGCAACAACAGCTGCAGCTTAGACCCGAATACGAGATCAAGTGCACCAGCCGACGGCTCAACACTGTTACACAAGTAAGCATCTATTTGCCTTTTGACCTGTGTGAATAAATTTAGATCATGTAGAGCGGTGTTCTTCATTCCTGCTCTTGGAGAGCCACTAACCTACAGAGTTTAGATCCGGATGTGCTCCAGTTCAACTGGCCTTCATTTGATTCCGGTGTGCTGGAACGAAACAACTCTCCAGGACCATGAACGAGGAAGCCATGGTTTAAAGGATTTGTAATTCATTCTAATGATTGATTCATTTAGCAGTGTGTTATGCTACTAACATTGTTTTCTTCATCCTACAGAGAATTTATTGTTTGCTCATAATGTTCAGTGCAAGATTTTCTTGAATTTCAGCATTTGCCCTGCATTTAAATGCGTGTCAAACTTATATTGCAGCTGTTCTTCGTTGTTTTATCTCTTCTTTCAGCAGATTTTATATTAGCTAATCGTATTTTTTCAACTGTACATAATTGTGACGCATACATGTGTACATAATCAAACTCAGGCAAGTTAAAAGGGTTACTAAGCTAGTTAGAAAAGGTTCAGTGATATTGGTGAGTTGCAAGGTGGATCCCTCAGTCAGTGCCGTTTAACATGAAATGAAAATGAGACCGATGAATTGACGTACAATATGTTCAGTATGTTGTTCTGCATTAAGGTCTCTGGTCAAATCTAATTGTCTCAGTCCACATTTTATGAAGTTTTTCAGCGTTTCATTAGCTGAACATAGTGAATGACACGTGTACATTCACACAAAGCTGTAAAATCTACTGTTAATGTTGAGAAAACTAGTTAATCTGAAATGCAGTCCAATTCAATTTGGATTGGGTTTGTAAAAATCTGCTGTCTAATAGTGTTAAATGGACAGAAAATGAGTTTACAGAGTCACCTCAGGTGTTGAAGGTAAACTCCAGAGTTTGGACGTCAAGGTTAGTTTATCCACCAACCGACTGAGAAACTAGATAATTGCGTGTTTGTTTGACTTTGCTCACGCTGTATAGGAACAGGAGTGGGTTCTAGACCAGACACCAGCTGATAAAGCAGGCAGGTTTATCCTGTGCTGGACCACTGTTGTCTTGTGGGTAAGACAGGCACAGGACGAAAAGAGATTGGTTTGATGTGTGTGAGTGTGTGTATAGCATTAGCGACCTGCTCGCCGTGTGATCCCAGCTAGTCGTAGAATTGATCTGATTCTAGCGATCTCATTAGAAACAGGACGAGTCCTCTAGACAGCAGTGTGGACACTGACAGCACTAGTACAGTGCTAGATTAGGGCTTCTGTCCCAGGTGTGTGGTGGTGGTTGCTCATGTTCCCTGCTTTGCTTGCTTGCTGTGTAGGAGATGGAGCCCTATTTACCTCTAACAAGCAAGTGTGCTCGCTCAATGCTGTCTGGGGCCACCGTCCTCTTCTGGGTGAGCATCAAAACCGTCTGCTACTTATAGCAGACTAAGACTTTCATTTTCCTTATACAGTAAAGTACAAATGTTGTCACCTTTTTTATATTAGCACATATGTACAAAAATACAGTGGGGTTCAAAAGTCTTTGACAACACTGGAAATCTGGGATTCAAAATTGAATTCAACTTGGAGATACTTGGAAACGTGGAAGTTTTACGGTTTTTAAACATCATAAATGTTATGACATAACACCATATCCTAACTAGACACGATGCGATAAGATTCCACTAGTTATCTGTCCACACCAGGCGTGACATAAATATTTCACAATTTTAACATTATTACAAATACACACGAATGACTGAAACAATCTTTGTCATAGAGTGCACTTGTTTGTTCACAGTTTATGTTCCTTTCATTTATTTTCAAAGTCTGAGGTAAATGATCCATTGTCGGTTTTAGTATGGCTATAAAGGTCCCGCAAAATGATATTCAAACTCGCATTAAATTAAACATTAAAGGAATAGTTAATACATAAAAATTACCCCACGATTTACGCCCCCTTAAGCCGTCCTAGGTGTATATGACTTTCTTATTTCAAACGAACACATTTATCTGTAGGAAGCTAGTTATTTTAGTTTATAAAGGATATTTTTTTTTACACAAATGCATGGCTTCGCTTCAGAAGGCCTTTATTAACCCCCCGGAGCCGTAAGGATTACTTTTATGATGGATGGATGCACTTTTTTGGGCTTTTTAAAATATCATCCTCTATTATTCACTACCATTATAAAGCTTGGCAGAGCCTGGGTATTTTTAAATATATCTCTGATTGTCGTTGTATGAAAGAAGAAAGTCATATACACCTAGGATGGCTTGAGGGTGAGTAAGTCATGGGGTAATTTTCATTTTTGGGTGAACTAACACTTTAATTAATGCACATAATCATTACATGAGATTATCATCGTTATATCTTGTATGTTGTTGTAGAAACGGTTTCTAAAACATACTCCCATCACTCATTGTGTATCGCCATCATGACTGAACAGGACAAAAAGTCTGATTACCTTGGAAAAGAAACCCGTGTCGTTAGGACACAGTGATGAGGTGATCAAGAAATATTTGAGATTCTGCACTATTTCTTCAATAATCAAATTTGTTTAATGCTCTTTGGAACGTTGGATCATTTTCAAATCATGCTGGATAACGTCAGATTTGGTTCAGCTCGAGCGCTGCTGTAATTTACGCAAAATAGAGACACAAAATACTACGAAATTCACCTTTTTTTTCTTTTTCAAATGAAACCAATTGCTCATAACAAAATATACAAAAACATTTTCACTAGTGGTCTCAGATTTTTGAACCCCATTGAATATATTAGCTCTGTTCCAATGCCTAGTGAGCTGTCTACATACAACAGGCAGGGGTTCCCAATCCCGCTCCTGGAGATCTGCCTTCCTGCAAAGTTCATCCAACCCTGATTCAACACAACTGAAGCTGCTAATGAAGATCTCCAGGAGATCCTGATTATTACACACAGGTGTGTTGGATCGGGGTTGATCTACCTAGCTCTGTAGGTACTGTAGGTAGATCTCCAGGAACAGGATTGAGCACTCTTGGTCTAAAGCATCATGTGCAAAGATGTTATTTAAAACCGAAAAGTCGGTTAGCAATGGACTGTTTACTCAATATATGCATGTGCTATGTTCTTAAACTTTGCATATAGAACACTTTTTGTTTAATGTTGCGTATTAAGTTATATATTGTTATTGTATTGTATTCAATGACTGCCTTTGTGCAGTGTTCCAAATTAATAACTTAAGAGGTTTCACAGCAGTTAGGTGGCTTTTACACAACATCGTTTTCAACCAAAAACTGAAAACTTTTTATGCGTTTTGATGGCCTGAAATCGCAAGCTTTTGAAATCGGGTTTCAAAGTGCACGTTTTTGAAAATGATACCGTTATTGTCTTCATGTAAACTACAAAACCATAAATTTGTGAAAACAGTGACGTCGTGTTCAGTCTATAGGCGCGTGTGTTTCTTTACAAAGTGACATCGCCAACTACTGGCCTGGCAGCAGAATACAGCGATTTTAGTCTTTTTCGCGGATCCGTGTGAACGGGATCGATTTGACAACGTTGTCGCCTGTATGCAAAAAATGCAAAGCAAAAACGTATTCCTTTTTTTTTTTTTTTTTTTACATTGTTGTCATATAAATATACTCTTAGAAGCTGCCTATGTTGGTAGTAGTTTTGAAACAGAGCTATTATATACAAATATTAAATAGCAAATATCTATTTGCATAATATCTGTGTTAAGGTGATGATACACAGGGCAACTTTTTGAGCAATGTTGCTAGGCAATCTTGCCAAGCGATTGTTGCTTGGGTACTTTCCTATTGAAAATGGGCAATACATTTCTATCTGTATAATTTAGATGGGTCTTGGGCCCTGTGTCTCATCTGGTTGCCCGTTGACGGCAACATTGCCCAGCAACATTGTTCAAAAAGTTGCCCTGTGTATCATCACCTTTAGACTTATGGTTGAATGTTAATAAGTCACTGGACTGTATGGACACAGAATCACACATCAGTAAGTCAGTAAGTTAAATCACCAGCATTTTGCCTGAGGATGCATGTTTTTACCAGCATGAGGCATTTTACAGTTTTGGCATGATGTAGTTCCTAGTTTCCACAGTGTTCTAATAAACAAAACAAATTACAATATTTTTGTATGAATAATTGAGTAGGGTATACTAATTGCAATGTATGAGTTGTTTTGTGTGTGTGACGTTTACCTCTCTCGCCCCAAAACCCAGATCTCTCTGATTATCGCCAGTATAATCGGTGTGATAGCGTACCGTCTGGCAGTGTTTGCGGCGTTTGCCAGCATCATGAAGGACAGCCCAACCAATAAGCTGGATGTGGTTGGAAGCCTCATCACACCCCAGTTTGCCACGTCCGTAACTGCTTCCTGCATCAACTTCGTCATCATCATGATCCTGAACTTCCTGTATGAGCGCGTAGCCATCAAGATCACTGATATGGGTGAGTCTTTATCTCCCAGACTCTTTCTTAACCTCAATTATGTGGACTAAAAATTAAGTAATGTTGTAACTTTTTTATAAATATAATACATAAAAAATACTTTTTATATAAGATTATAAATCAATGTTATTTATGATCATTTAGTTTTTTTCCCCAAAATTATTCTATTAATTTATTGTATTTATTTGTCATTTGCAACTTCCAATTTGTGAACGGATTGTTCTGATATGTTCCAATCAATTCATAAATGCTGGTGAATAAATAATTGTACAATTACTAAAGTATTTCCGTAATAAACATATTTTTGTAGGTTTGCACACTGACTTTTATTCACTTGTTGTTTTGTCCACAGAGGTTCCCAAAACCCATGTGGAGTACGAGAACAAGCTAACAGTGAAGATGTTCCTCTTCCAGTTTGTCAACTACTATTCCTCATGTTTTTACGTCGCCTTTTTCAAGGGCAAATTTGTGGGTTACCCTGGCAACTATGCCTACATGTTCGGCAAATGGAGTGGGTTGAGAAATGAAGAGGTAGACCTGGCATCCCATGAGAATTATTTTCAATCCCATTATTATTTCACCTTTTAAAATGTTGTTTCGCATGGATTATTGTCTGTGTAACTTTAGCACTATAAAATGCATATTATTGTGTACAATTATAATTAATGAATTATTAGTAGATTCTTATTTCTGATGATCATAATTGTCTTTCCAGTGCGAGCCAGGCGGCTGTTTGATTGAGTTAACCACTCAGTTAGTGATAGTGATGGTGGGTAAACAGGTTTGGGGGAACATACAGGAAGCGCTCGTCCCGTAAGTCCCTATGACATCATAATCACACATTATATTCATAACCATCATTATTTGTTGCATGACCAGGGTATCTGCGCTGATACAGTACCTAAAGTAATACTTAATTTCATGACTAAACAGAGTTTAATAATTCAGACCCACTCAAGGTGGCTGTGAGTTTCTATGTATTTTTTAGTGTTTTTAATTGATTTATTAGTGTTCATTATTTATTTATTGATAGTGGGTTGTGCTTTACATATTTCTATATCTTTAGTTGGTTGCGTAACTGGTGGGTGAGCAGAAGTGCTCGTAATCATCCAGAGAGCCTGTACAGCCGCTGGGAGCAGGATCATGACCTCCAGACCTTCAGTCAGCTCGGCCTGTTCTACGAGTACCTGGAGATGGGTGAGTGGAGACACAGACACACGCACACACTCCCGGGCAAAAAAAAGTTCCATTCAAAGTGCTTTACACAGAAAGGAATCAAAATAATCACAAAATAAAAGCAAGGAAAATTAAAATAGTTAGAAAAGGAATTAAAAGAGATATGTATGGAAGCTTGTTTCCGCCACATAATGAAAACAAAAAAAGGTAATTGTTAGCCTGGTTAAAACCAGACCATTCTCAGTTGTAACTGAGTTATGGTCTGGCAAAGTGTCATAGACAAATCATTTCCAGAGGGGCGTCACCAACGGACTTCTTTGCTCGGTTTTTAACAAAAAGGAAACGTTCAAATCGCTTAAAACAGACGCGATAGCTGATTCGAACGAGTGATGTTCGACGGCGGCATCCATCTTTGTAATGTAAGCTACAAAATCTGTTGTCATCGTGTAAAGCCCACCCCAACGTTTCTGATTGGTGCCTCGATTTCGACGGATTGGAAATGGGCTTGAATGAGCTCTTTGCCAGACTAACTTTCAGAGCAAATCTAAATTTGCCGGAAGTTGTCTGGGTTTTCCCAGGCTAGGTAATTGTGACTTTTTATCTCACAATTCTGACTTTTTTTCTCACAATTGCGAGTTTACATCTCTCATATAAAGTCAGAAATGCATGATATAAAGTCGAAATTGCCTGTTGTACTGTCAGAATTGTGAGATATAAACTATTCTGAGGGGAAAAAAGTTAGTCTTTTTTTTCCCTTAGAATTGGCCTGATAACTCGCAATTATATGTTATAAAGTCAGAATTGCAAGATGTAAACTCGCAATTGTGAGGAAAAAAAGTCAGAATTGTGAGATAAAAAGTCTCAATTCTCTTTTTTTCTTGCAATTGCGACTTTATTTCTCATAATTGTGACTATATCTCGCAATTGCGACTTTATCTCGCAATTGCGACTTTATTTATCAGAATTGCGACTTTATATCTCGCAATTGCGACTTTTTTTCTCATAATTGCGACTTTATATCTCACAATTGCGACTTTTATTTCTCAGAATTGCGACTTTATATCTCGCAATTGCGACTTTATATCTCATAATTGCGACTTTATATCTCGCAATTGCGACTTTATATCTCATAATTGCGACTTTATTTCTCAGAATTGCGACTTTATATCTCGCAATCGCGACTTTATTTCTCATAATTGCGACTTTATATCTCACAATTGCGACTTTATTTCTCAGAATTGCGACTTTATATCTCGCAATTGCGACTTTATATCTCATAATTTCGACTTTATTTCTCAGAATTCGTCTCTGATGTTTTTCTGAGACAGCAATGGCTTTTTAAATACTGCATTTGCTTAAATTATGATTTTTTCCTGACCAAACGTTTTGGTGAAGGCAATAAAAAGCTTAGTGTTTCGCCATTTGGGGCTTGGCCCTTTTTTTGCCCAGGAGTGTTTATATAAAATCATAAAATCAATACAAGCAATATATTACCTTAAATTATTACAGAGCGCTCTAGAATACTTGATTCTGATTGCTTTTGTTCTGTTTTTTTTTCTCTACAAGAAAGCTAATGAAATAATTTCATCTCAAATCAATATATCATGCCCATGTATTCATTTCATACGTTGCTATGAAATGAGTAGACTTTGCACTGGGGCCAAATAAACAACTTTGGTAACACTTTAATTTAAGGTGACGTACTAGTTACATGTACTTACTATAGTAATAACAGTAAATTATGCATAATTACAAGTTACTAAACCAATCCCTATACTTAACCGTAACTCTATAGTAGGTACATGTAGTTAATTAAGATTATCTGAGTACAATGTAACTACGTCACCTTAAAATAAAGTGAAACCGTAACTTTTATGTAAATTATGATCTGTTAGCAATAGGCCATATTGAATTTCACACTGAAGAAAATGAGGCTGTGAGGAATTGGATTTACCGTGGCACTGGTCTTAGTCTCAACTTTCAAGTTTTATGGAGTTTTTGTCAAATGAAAGTTATTAGGAAAGATGTTCCGTGACCTGAACAGTTGGCATGTTGTTAAACAACAGTACAATCCATTGAACACACTGTACTTCTGTCCCTCACAGCCTCGTTTTTTTATTCTGTCAAATATGAAATATGGTGCTTTCTTACCAAGGTTTATAATTTAAAAAATATTTATCAAATATTATCTATATGTAGATAATTATTTTATAAAATAGTATTTTTAATGTAGCTTAACTAAATTAAATTATGAATTGCTTGTAACTTAGTTTCAAAGTAGCTTTACTTGTAACTTTTTGCTTTCAACCTGCAATAAGTCAGTTTTGCAGACAGATGGTGCTGTAGCTCATCTTTGTGTGGAGCAGCACTTCATCTCATCTTTGTTTTGCAGTTATCCAGTTTGGCTTCATCACCCTGTTTGTGGCCTCTTTCCCGCTGGCTCCTCTGCTGGCTCTGATGAATAATATCTTGGAAGTGCGAGTGGATGCCTGGAAGTTCACTACTCAGTTTCGCAGGCCCGTGGCAGCAAAAGCACACAGCATTGGGGCATGGGAGGAGATCCTCAACATGATCGCTGTTTTCTCAGTGGTCACCAATGTGAGTCTGTACCACATTATGGTTCTGGTTCCGATTCCGCTTAACACCTGAAGAAAACTTTTTTTACTTACAGTTATGATGACAATAATAAGTCAGGAGCCGTTCTGACTACTGTAGACTTGTTTGAAGTAGTTAAGCTGATATCTCACGAGTCTTTTAGACTGATTCATTTAAAACAATTAACCGTGTAACCAGTTAATACGAATCATTGGTACACATACACATGGAAGCTTGTTTCCTCCACAGAATAAATAATTAAAAAGGTAATTGCGAGTTTTTATCTCACAATTCTGACTCTTTTCTCGCATCTCTGACTTATTTCTCAGAATTGTGATAAACTCGTAATTGCATATCCTAAAGTCAGATTTTTTAAAATGCAATTGCAAGAAAAAAGTAAGAATTACTCTTCTTCTTTTTTTTATTCCATAGTGGAAACACGTTTTCATCTCATTACCATATTCTTGGGTGTATTATTTTTAGTAATTGCGTGGCCTATCGTCAACTTTCATTTACTTATAAACTGGTTATGAAGCATATCCTGACCAGAAACGGTATCAAAGTAGGTCATGAAACAGCATTTAAAGGGGTCATATAATGGCATTTTTGTACAAGCTAATATGATTCTTTAGGGTCTAAATTAAAAGTACCTGGTCAAAAACAGCTCTGTTTTCAGCACGCCGTTTCAGTGCATATGACTTTAAATGATAATGAGCTTCGCTGACCCCGCCTCTCTGTTCTGTGCGTACACCGTTTGTAACACAATAACCATAACGCCTTGTTCAGTATAAACGTGGGATTATGAATTATATTGAGAACGTCGTACATAGAAAACATGCCGTAATGTACCCTGAGTGTAAACCTTAGACGCATTCATTGTGAAGCGTGCAGCTAGCGATTTGCAAAGATTAATATAAATATTAATATAAAGATTAATAAAACTTTACACTCACTTCAGTTGTTCTAATCTAGAGGTTCAGCAGGAACACGAATAGCTGGTACCGATCCTTTATTCAGGAGCAGCTTCTTAGCAAAACCAGCTTTATACTGACCCTCCTTTATAAAGCAGTCTGGTGAGAAATTATTTGCGCAAACATGAGAGCATTGACGTTGCTCGTGGGGAATATTCCCTTCGAAAACAAACTCAGCCACTGCGTCTTCAGCGGTTCGGATTTAGGAACATCAAAATGACTGCAGGGTTCCTTATTCAGTCCTTCCAGAAAAACGCGGAGTTTTTTTGTGATTGTTGCGGGCAAAAATCCTTGATTACGCGGCCCGTTTTCTTTAAAAATGCGATGGAATATGCGGGATATTTATGCAATTTTTTGCGATAAAATTGCGGGAACTTGCAAAAATTGCGGGAACTTGCAAAAATTGCGGGAACTTGCAAAAACTGCGGTTTGATGAAAAAGAGGGAAAAAAAGTGATCTCCCCAACACCCTGTTCTCACTAGGCTACTACCTTAATGTAAAGAGTCCGTTCTTATTACTTCCTTTGATAAGCAAGCATACTACATCACAGAAAGTTCTGGAAATATTTAATTTCTCATCTTGTTTTATTTCAGACTGTATCGAGTGGAAATAAGGTGTGGCCCCTTTAAGAGTTGCGCGCTCCCTGTCTAACTGTCTGCAGTATTATATTGTATGTGCCATGCGCCTCGAACACCCCATGTGTGCGGGTAATTTCTGTTTGATGCTACTTCTTTTATCTTATTTTGTTTATTAAGTAACGATGTGGACGGTAGAACGTGTGACAGACAGTTACGAGTTCGATTTGGGAATAAAGTGCGAGTTGTGAGATGCCAATCGCCTCCGTGAGTCTGTCTGGCCTCTGCAATAACTTCAGCTGTGAGCTATCCCTATTTTTCCTCAAACATCAAACTTACAAAACATTGCTGAGTCAAACAAGTTCTGTAGCTTTACTAGAGGAATATGCTACAACTTCAGTAAAAATGAATAAATGAAATATTTTAAAATAAAGTGTGCTCCTGTTTTACAGCTTTTCAATGATGTTCACGTCGCGTAATTACGTCACTTCATAACGTTCCCATGGCAACAGGGGGAAGTGGCTGCTCTTGTGTGAAGCAAACGCAACATTTTCCAACTTTCTGCTAAGATATATGTGACTTTTTTGCGACGAAAATGCGGGGATTATGAAATCATGCAAGCCCCGCATATTTTGCGCGGAAATCAGCAATTTATGCGGCGAAATTGCGGAGTATTTGAAAAAAATGCGACCCTCGCATAAATATGCGGACTTTGGCTGATTTTGCATTGAATTCAGCGATCGCATAATCGCGTTTTTCTGGAGGGACTGCTTATTACACCCAAGAACAGAACAACACAATCGCTTAGACGCCATTCTGCTCATAGACAGTGCTCCAGCATATCAACAATGACCGCGCCGATCCACGCAGACTATGATTGACAGCTCGCTCATGAGCGAGGGCGGGTCTGTGTTGAAACGCTGCTGTCAATCAACAATCGTGGGAGGGGCTTCCGAGCTTGTGACGTCACAGGCTCGAACGGCTCGATTTGAGACAGGGGAAAACATATAAGGAGATTAAAACAAAAACACTGGATGGATTTTTATCATTATATGATGGTTGTGTACAGACACTGCCAACACACATTTCAGCACAATCAACTTGTAAAAGTGCATGTACCATTATATGACCCCTTTAAGAATTCAGATCTCTTTTACATCCTATTGCGCTTGAATGGTCAAATACACACACAGTTATGTCAAAATGCCCATTGTGTGGCGTGTTCATGTTAACCCATCCCAAGTAAAAGTAAACAGTTGGGTGTAAACCGGATTTGTATCAGTATAATGGATCCGTTCATGCGGTCCTAAAGTTACAGCAGCCTATTTGCTCTCTGTGCCATTAATGTTAGTAAGACCTAATGTTATTGATTTGTTCGTCAGGCTTTCATTGTCTCATTCACGTCTGACATGATCCCTCGGCTGGTGTATCTGTATGCGTATCACCCGGGCACTGAGATCACTATGGAAGGATACATCAACAACAGCCTTTCAGTCTTCAACATCTCCGGGATTCCCATTGAAAACCGCCCAGAGGACGGCGAGAACCCAGATTGGTACGACAGCACCAACATCACCACCTGCAGGTACTGTTGTGTATGTTTGTGCTGGGTCTTTCCATAGATATTTATGGTAACACACTGACAAATGTGTAATAAACATGAAGGCTGTTGATCTTCTAGGTACCGTGACTACCGCTACCCTTCAGGACACGAGAGACAGTACAGTCATACTATGCAGTTCTGGCATATTCTAGCTGCCAAATTAGCGTTTATCATCATTATGGAGGTATGGGCTCTTTAAATTCTCCTCATTCCCTTCAGAAACAGAAGTACATTTAGCATACTTTGAAAAAGAGTGCTTATTATGTTAATGATATACTTTAAAATAGTATATTTAATTTCAAACTGAATGTAATGTTTTGGACACTTATTTGCATGTTATTTGCAATTAATGGAAATGTATTATAGTTTAAATTTAAAATAAATACAATAAGTTGAACTTTAGAATGCCTTCTGGATCCTCTTAAATAGGACGCAAGTACATATTTAAATGTAATTTCATAATTACTTGTATTGTCTTTGACATGTGGTTAAAGTGTACTGCAAATGCACTGTCAATCATTTATGGTAAACCAAAATATACTTTAATGTCATTTCTATTGAAACTTGTATTTAAATATATTTGTAATTACACATTTGCAAAGATGTAGTTGTAATTTAGTACATTTAAAATATAATAACTTTAAATGTAATATCGAATAACGCACTACAGTTTAGATTATAATCAAGTAGTACTATACATGTGCTTTATGTTAGTCAGCATAAAAATAATAAATAAATGATCATTTAAAATGTACTTTAAAGTTAAATGTTTATTTTGACATTATTACAAAGTGCACTTTTTAAAAGTGTACTGCAGTGTGTTAAGAAATATAGTCAGAATTTGTACTCTCTTTAAGTACATTTATATGGCCTTTTATTTCAACAATATATTATCTACAAGTACAGTTGTTTTAAAACTATCCTTTTAAGATTTGAAGTACACTACAAGTGCATGTTCAATACAATCGAACACTTACAATGTGCAGATCATTTCACAACATGTCATACACGTCATACTCATGTCTCTTTAAAAATAGCAGATCCAACTCTGGAATGTTTAAATGTGTTAATTGTGTTCTATAAAACCAGGAAACTCTGTTTTCTCTGTTTACACCATGATGCATCACAGATACAATATCACACCAGACAATTCACACTTTGAGCAACACTTTTGAACAGAAATGAAAGACAAGGCACTCTTGTTGCTTTAATAAATTATCATTTTTGTTTTGTTTTGTCAGATTATTAGCAATTTAGTGTGATTAAATATAAAAAATGTGATAAAAAAAAATGACACCATGATAAGCCAAACCACAGGATGTCATCAAACAGGACCAACATGTATGTAGAGAAATAATAATAAAAAACTCTACTGATGGAATATAAGAGTGTGAATGGCCATAGCGCACTCTTGCTCGTGTGATGTTGCTTTATTATTTCTGTTTATCTTACTTAATTGACTTTTAAAAAATATTGACGTCGTCAATATTAAAATAAACGCTGAACTTTTTCTGCAACAATAATCCTCTTCTCTCCCAGCATGTGGTGTTTGTGGTGAAGTTCTTTGTGGCGTGGTTGATCCCCGACGTGCCGTCAGACGTGAAGGCTCGTGTAAAGCGTGAGCGCTACCTCATCCAGGAGTACCTGCACGACTATGAGCTGGAAAAGCTCAAAATCCAGCTTAGCCGGAACGGCCAGAGCATTGACCAGTGCACGTGTCCGACCACAGCCTCCACGCCTCTGAAAGTCGAGATGTTATCAGACTGTCTGACCTAACACTGGCCGATCTGACTTAGCTACACTTAGCTCATGCCACAAACCAATCCTCTCTCTTACAACACACAATCACATGCCACTGGTTCCTACATCTCAGTTTGGGGTATTCCTTGACAAATCACTCCCATTTTATGTCTCCCAGAGTTCTCATTATCAGCCATGTGAGGCCTACATAAAGGAAGCATCCAGAATAAGAAATACAAAGTAAAAATCGTATAAATCTATTCATGTGCAGTAGACATATCTAAAGCCGCATGAGTTCAGCTGTAACTCATTTTCTGTCTATGCAGGACATTTGTACATGAACAATCATGTCTTCTCTCTCTTTCACGGCACTGTTCTCTGTTTATGTTGCCAATGTCTCCTATAAGACACTACAAACTTATGTTCTCTGTGTGAAACACTGTGTGAAAATCAGGCAGCTGAAGTGTCAGGTTAGAAATGTAAACCAGACATTTTCTTGGCAGGTTTGTGTGTCACTCTGAACTACAACAAGAATGTCTCCTTCACACCGTGCCGAAATACAAGCACTCAGCAAAAATGAAGACTTTATTGTTTAGAATGCCTTTAAGCTACCAAAGATAAAATGCCTTAACATCATAGTCATATGCATGGATCCTTTACGTTATTTCAAATGAGACTTTAATATAAAACACTTCTATTTACTACTTGTTCAGAATTCATGTGAAAAGAAATTCATATCTAAAAAGGGTTTTCAGGAAATTTTCCTATTACGTACAAGTGTGTGTTTTTTTGTAGTACATTTAGTGTATTTTCTTTTATGATTGAAATAGAAGACAGGAACTGGCACTCAAATTATTCAACAGTATTATTTCATAGATTGAAGTTTGCACACTACACACACAGTGCTGTTTGGGTGATGGAGGTGTTGAATCTTCACTCACGCTATTTATAAAGCAGTTATCACTCTGTGTTCATAGTTAAAGATAATCTGCACTTTAAAGCTTAACAATGATGTGCAGGAAATCTTCTCAAAGCCAAAGTTGTTCCTGTGATTTAAATGGCCAAGTTAGAAAACAAATATTTTTTTTTTTAACGTGCCTTTGTTTGTCTAAATATAAAATCCAGGCTGAGTGATTGTTTGTACTTCCTTTCCAATTCGTTTACTGCGTTGTCCTGGTCGGAGAAGGACAGTCACTTTGAGATAAATTACTTCTCAATAAGTGCTTTGTGCAAAACATAAAATCAGTGTTTGGAAGCAAGAAAGAAACCTTGTGAATTTCTCCAAAACTATGAAATGGCCATTTGGCGTTGAACTAAATGCTTCAGAAACTTCAAATCAAACAGTTGTAATGAGGACCATGAAGAGTTGACAATTTGACATGTACATGTATGCTAATGAGGATGCAAAATCTTAGCACATGTATTTTGCTGTTATTTGTGACTTGAATATTTAAGTTGGAAATTATGAAACTTTTTTCTAGATCTGTCATGAAGAATTGAATCATTGTTTCATCATTTGAAGAACTGTTGTTCATTAAAATGTATGCAGTTTGAATATTTCACTGTTGATGTATGTAGCTGACAATCTGCAAGCTCTGCTAAAAGATGAAAAGCCATTTATCTTAAAACATTACCTGGCCTTTTTAGCATTTCAGCTAGATGTTGAAGTTCTGGGTGATCAAAATGATCAACATTTATGCCTTAACCTTTATCTGTGTTTTTTCTTGATAATTACTGTTTTACGTTTTTTTTTTATGCATGTTTTTTTGGATGTGGATATGAATCTGGTGTTTTTCTCCACTGCTAATGCACCATAAATGTACTACATTTTTCATACTTTAAGCAACCCACTGTCACCCAAATAAACTATTGAATCCACAAATTCAATAGTATTTAATTGTTGTAAACATTGCTTTGAATTCTTATGCCACAACTTTTGGAGTTTTGGGAGAGGGTAAGTTTCAGCACCGGCTAAATTATATTTCATATATCCAGTAGGATAGAGTTCGCTCCATAAAACCCGGCAGTAAGACTGATGGGTCACGACTGCAGAGAAACCGTGTAAATTTGTACAAACAGCACTGCTGTGATTTATTATTTTACGTGATAATGGACAGCTTGCTACAGATGTGTATCGATCTTTATTGTTTAATCTACTGTTTAATGTAAAAAGTGGGCCAAGTTCATAGAAAATTGTCTCGGTTGCTATTGTAAGCCTTGTTCCCTGAGAAGGAATGCCTCTGTGTGATTGCGTCTGAAGCACATGTGTAAAATCAGTCCAATGGCGAGACGGTACATCACAAGCGGGTGACGTCATGACCAGGAAAGCATAAAGGCACATCCGGAATGACCGCCGTTAGCTTCAATTAGCCTAAGCAAATCGATCACAGGGAAGAAGTAGGTATGACAGGGTGACGCAGCGTCTCGTTCCCTTCTTAGGGAACAAGGGTTACAGTCGTAACCTGAGACGTTCCCTTTCGAGGGAACTCATGCTACGTCAAGGACGCTTTGGGAATGACAATACCCAAATGCCATGCTTACAAGTGCCTGTCTGTGTGAATTCTGCAAGCACAACTAAGACATGAGCACCTGGGAACTAAGTTGGAGAACCTTATGAATGTGAGCGGAGAGGACCAGCCCGCCGCATCACAAACATCTTGAAGGGACAGACCCGAAAGTAAGGCTCTGGAGGCAAAGGTGAAGGCTGGCCAGAAACCTCATAAGCAAGAATTTGTTCAATGCAGCATTCAAATGTATATAGGTGTGTTTGGGCTGTTTTAAATTTAAAAAAAATATAATTAATATATCATAGAGTTGTTTGTGGTGGTGGTGATTAGACGAGATCTGCGGTGACGTCACAATCGTGTTGCATTGTGGTATTTGGACCTGCCTGAAGTGTACATATGAAGTAGACTCGCTCCCTCGGTCAAAATCGAGGGAGCGAGGGTCTTTCCATAAACTTCCCTCGTCCACTTCACGAAGTGGATGGCGGCAGGGATTCCCCCGAGGGGAAGTGCTTAGGGAAGTTCACAAGTGCGTGTCTAAAAGTGGACTGGAACGCAGCCATAGTTAATCTTTTCCTGGGCCTGATCTCTGACAGGAGGAGGGCAGAAGGCTTGCAAGACAATAGGCCACGGTATTCTTTAACCCAATATGAGCTTCACCACCTCGGGGTGAAGTCTCCATTCCCCGGGCCTCAGCCCGTCTCTTAAGTTTTGGTACCCCTGGATGTATACTACTCAGAGAGAGAAGGTTCCCTTGGGACCACAGGGACCTAGTGGATGCGAAGGATTGTGAGGATAGAAGCAACGTCTATATAGTTCAGAATGCGGATGCCTTGAAGTCTGAGCGGCGCCAGAGCATTTTGTGAAAGGAAGAACCCGATATTGGTATGCTTCACCCTAGAAAGCAAACCCCAGGAACTTCCTGTGTTGTGGAAGGATGGAGACATGGACGTATGGGTTCTTTAGATCTATTGTGACAAACCAGTCCTCGGATCTGAATTGTGTCAAATTCAAAATCTTGAACTTGAGCATCTTGACCGACTGATTAAGATGACGAAGGTCTAATATAGGACACAACCCCCCGTCCTCCTTTGGAACAGTGGGTACCAGCTGTAGAACCTGGACTCTCTGTAGGGTGGAGGAACCTGTTCTATGGCCTCCTTGCCTAAGAGAGTTTTTACTTCTGGCCCCATTACCAGAGCCTGCTCGCGAGGCAAGAGCCGAGTATCAAGATTTTTCTTGAATATCTGACAGATTAAGCCAGAGATGCCTCTCCGAGGCCACCAGGGCTGCCATAGACCACCCAATAAATCTGGTGCTTCCTTAGTGGCCCGGAGAGACAATTCTGTGGCAGGATGCAATTCTCGAACAGCGTCGGGCCCTACCCCCTCGCCATCGTCCAGGTCCCTCAGCAGGTCAGCCTAGTTTGCCTGCAGAAAAGACAGTGTGCAGACATGCACCAGACTGACCTGCTGCCTTATACGCTTTGCCCACTAGCGCAGAGGATGTTCTTAAAGAGAGAGAAAGTCTTGTGCTGTGGACAACGTGATACATGTATTGTTCTCTGATGAGTTCTCCTTCACCGTCTTCCCCACATCCGTGGGAGTTACAGTGAACACTCGGACTGTTGCTTTCCAGAGTGAAGCACGGCGGTGGATCAGTGATGGTTTGGGCTGAAATATCATGACATTACCTTCTGTGATGAATGATTGGCAAGAACCATTGAGCTGTTCTGGAGGATCATGTGCACCCAACGCCTTCTCATCCCAAAGCGCCATATACTGACACTTTTGCCAAAGCGTCTACATCCGACGCACATGGCACCCTTTAGCGTCAATATAACACGCTTCGGTTATGGGTAGGTTTAGGTCTGGGGTAGTGTTAGGGTTAGACCACTAGGATGCGCCATATATCTGTGTCTCATATTGACGCTAAAGGGTGCCATGTGTGTTGGATATAGACGCTTTGGCAAAAGCGTCCGTATATGACGCCTTGGCTTGGGATGAGAACGGGCTGGTGCACCTAAAGGTTCAAACATTGTACCCTGAAGGGGATGCCGTGTATCAGCATGATAATGCATCTATACAGCAAGACTTGTGACAGAGTGGTTAGATGAACTAGCCTGGGAAAACCCAGACAACTTCCGGCAAATTTAGATTTGCTCTGAAAATTAGTCTGGCAAAGAGCTCATTCAAACTTATTTCCAATCCGTCGAAATCGAGGCACCAATCAGAAACTTTGGGGCGGGCTTTACACGATGACGACAGCGCTGGGATTTTGAAGCAGATTTTGTAGCTTACATTACAAAGATGGATGCCGCCGTCGAACATCACTCGTTCGAATCAGCTATCGCGTCTGTTTTAAGCGATTTGAACGTTTCCTTTTTGTTAAAAACCGAGCATAGAACAACTCGGAGATGTTTCTCCGCCGCTCTGCATACGTCATCGCCTTCATCGCTCTGATTGGTTTTAGGTCTATCCGCGACGTCCGTTGGTGACGCCCCTCTGGAAATGATTTGTCTATGACGCTTTGCCAGACCATAACTCAGTTACAACTGAGAATGGTCTGGTTTTAACCAGGCCATAGATGAACATGAAAGTGAAGTTTAACATCTCCCATGACCTGCACACCAGATCTGAATATGACTGAGCCTCTTTGGGGTGTTTAGGAGGAGCGAGTCAGAAAACGTTTTCTCCACCAGCATCACAGAGTGACCACTGTTCTGGAAGAGGAACAGCTCAAAATCCCCATGGCTTCTGTGAAGGACTTCTCTATCTGCCATTCCCAAGACGAATTGATATTATTTCAGTTTCATTGTCCAACCCCTGTATATATACAAAGAAACAAATATTCCAAAATACTAATACAAAATACTAATCCCAACATTTCTTTCTCTCTTTTTTCTCAAGAATTTAATTATTTCAATGATTCTGACACACTGAAAAAACACTGAACTTTAATATACAAAGTCAAACACTGAGAGAACCGAAGGCCTTAAATACACAAGATAATAAAACTTAATATGAAACAGGTGTGAAGTAATCAATGAAACAATGAATCTGGAAATTATGATAACAAAGTAAAAGTCCTTGAAAAATATTACAACACCAGAGTGTTGAAATGCAAAACGGTACTTTCCTGTTATCCGGACCCCACCATATACCATGGGCGGGGTTAGGGGTAGGCCATCGTCCCTGATTGGTCTTAACCCCAGTGACGGGTAGGTTTAGGGGCGGGGTTAGGGGTAGGCCATCGTCCCTGATTGGTCTACCCCAGTGACGGGTAGGTTGCAAAACACATGCTGTATACGCTTTACTGACTCAGAAATTAATCTGGACTTCATGAATTTTTATTTATTTATTTATTTAGCCTATTTTAGTCCAGAAGAAAAGATGACGCATATTTTAAAAATACATCAGAATAAACATTACAGTCAAAGTGGACATTATCGTGTGCACTCATTCAATCCCACAATGCACCGCAATAACGAGTCTACAACCGTAGTGTACGTTCAACCAGAGCCCGTCTAAAGAGCCTTGGCACTTCCTATTAGCCCCATTGTGTATCATCTTGGTTGCAGTTCCATTAGAATTCCACTGGAGGTGATCGCGGGCGAGTGCAGAATGAATGGGAGTCTATGGAGCTAAACGGCTAAATGTATCTCTTTCTCCTGCTTGTCGTTGAATCAACATAGATTTTATTGTTGATTCCGCAAGTTCAATATAGATTATAGGCCAAGAGTCGAATGAACGAGTACTTATGTCCTTTCGATTTCTTACAGGTTAGGCCGTTGTTGTCCGGAACACGCTAGCATTCTGCTATTATGTGACGTCATCACATTTTTGAACGGATTTTTAGAACAGATAAGTGAACTTAAAAATGCAATTTTCAGCTGAGTGTATTATCTTAGCCCTTACTTGACAAAAAATTACATCCTGAGAAAAGTCGATTTCTGGGGGTGAAACCCCATAGACTCCCATTCATTCTGCACTTGCCTGCGAGCGCCCCCGCATGGACAGAGACAGTCCAGAAACCGGAAGTAACCAGACAGTGCCAATTGGCTTTATGTACAGCTGCACTACTTCCTGAACTTCAGCCAGCTCTTTTGTTTCATGTCTGCCATTATTTTCCAAACTGATTAATCCAGGTGTGCCTGGCCTCAGTAACAATAATCAGGCACACCTGGATTAATCAGTTTGTCCAATAATGGCAGACAGGAAACAAAATAGCTGGCTGAAGTTCAGGAAGTAGTGAAGCTGTGCATAAAGCCTATTCTCTTCAATTAGACGTTCAACGGCTAGAGAATACCCATAATGCATGACTGTCGCAGCGAATGCATTCCCGCGTCTGGCCAGAAGATGGCGCCGCAGCTGAAACATCCATCCATCCATTTCCCAAACTGCTGGTCCAATGTTGCTACAGTATAATATCATGCAGGTTTAAATTCCTTTTTACTTTATTATTAAATTGTTTAATTAAGGTTTATACTTGCTAGTTTCCATGGCAGAATTCAAGATTAATCTTTCCATTACTACTGAAGCTGCCAGTTTGCTAAATTTCAAATAAACAGCAATTGATTAAGCATTATAATATATAATCGGTAACACTTTACAATAAGGTTCGTTAGTTAACATTAGTTGACTACATAGTTAACATGAACTAATAATGAACTACACGCATACAGCATTTATTAATCGTTGTTAATGTTAATTTCAACATTTAGGCTACTAATACTTTATAATAATTAATATAATAATAATAATACATTAGTTAATGCACTGTGAACTTACATGCACAAAAAATGAACAGCTGCATTTTTATTAACTAACATTAACAAAGATTAACAAATACAGTAACAAATTGTTCATGTTAGTTAATACATTAACTAATGTTAGGCTAACTAATTAACCTTGTTGAAAAGTGTTACCAAATAATCTTTGTACTTTGTATGAATGTTTTTTTTTTTTTTGTCTTTGTGAAAATAGTGTTTTTGAATAATATAAAATCAAAATTGAAGTTTTGAACCAAAACATAAATATTATTTGAGAAAAACGAAAAAAATTGTCTGTAACCAATTACAGTGTTTTTTTTTAAAAGTTGGTCAATGTATTTTTTTAGCGTCCCTACACATTTCTATGTCCCACAAAATTATGAATTTAATTTTAATTAGCCTAACTGTAAAAAATATGAAAGAAGAGTGGCTATTCACACAAAGTCGTGATTTAAAAAAATAAATAAATTATGAGTTGCACTGCTTATATGTATTTATGAATAATTTAACAGATCAGGGCAAACAAAACGACACAGAGTCCAGCGCCCTCTTGTGGTCATTACTCGAATTATTTTTTCCTGCCCAACCCTGTTTTCCTAAATTATTATTGGTATTGTTGGAATAATCTATCATGGATATTCCTAAATGAATGCAAATAATTATAATTCTGACTCCAACAATAACCTACTCAATTGTCTCGTCCCAAGAGCCCATATGCCAGTCAAAACTGATGACTTGAAGGTTTGCATTTGTGTAACCAAACCTGATAAAACCACTCAATGCATCCAATAATAATACTATAACATGACTCATACATATGTTTGCCAATGGATCTTTGCTAATTGCTAGATGTCAATACATTTCTTTTTAGCAGTGCACGAGGGGAGCGCGCAGGTGTGGAGCGCGCAGCTCACTCGCTGTCTGCGGGTTCATGCACAGCTGGACGGACGCGCGCTTTCCCTGTCCACGGTTCCGAACGCGCTCCCGCACCCACTGCTGGCTTCCACCGCTCCACGTTTATTTTTCTTCTTCTGTCTTTGTCATTTTTCTCCTTCTGTCTTTTTCAAAGGTGAATTCTGATGGATTATTCTCGTTTGTGATAAAAAAAATAGGCTATCGACAAAATGGAAAAGCGAGGAATTACAGAAGTCGGAAAGGGAGTTTCAAAGGACATTTCAGTGACTGTGAAACAAGATTTTAATTGATTGATTGATTGATCTTGGTGTTTTGTAAGTCGTCTACACGGAATAAAAACGCATTTTTATTTTTTTTACTGGGTCAAAAAATACTGCTCAGGTTTCCACACTCAAGGAATATGCTGAAATATCTTACAGCCAATTAAAATTAAAATTTCGTATTCATATTGAGTGGAATATTATTTTTGGAGATGGATACGGTGAAGGAACGAGTTTTGGCTCCTGGTAAGGAGAGATTGAGGAATCTGGCCGGGAAAACCCTGGGACACATGCACAGGTATCAGCCCCTTTCATTCAAAAAATGAAGACAGGAAAAACGTAATGATGTTTACAAAAAATATTTGATTATTATCTCGATGTCAAAGTACAATATTCATGTCTACATAAATTCAAATAGCCTATTTTCCCTCCCATAGCTACATAAAAATGGCTAAATAACGCATAATTTATAGTGATTAAACAATGTGTGGTGTGGCACGTTTTTTTCGTCATTTTTCGTTAGGAGAAAATACGACAGAAATGACCGTGCGCGTTAAAGATCGTGATTCGATCGTGTGTAGATCTAGAGATGAAAGAATTCCTCCGAGGATCGTTCCTCTGCCCACAGCGCTCCGGAATCAATTAATAATTCATGAAAGAAAGTCGTGACATGACGAGCTTATAAGTCCCTTTAATTAAATTATTATTATTATTCATTCTTTTTAAACGTTAAAAAACACAAACAAATGTAGGCTAGTCTATTTATTTTAGTAGCTTAAACCACAATTAAATTTCAGAATAGAATCACAGCTTTTTCCGTTTTACTTTGTCGAAATCGTGTAAATTCTTTGTAGGCTATTGTATGGAAGCAGTGCGATGAAAACATTTTTCAGAGCGTTTTTGTATTTTGCATATTTCATTTTAGGCCAGTGGTAATGAAACGCTCAGAGTCGGAACGAATCGGTGAATGGTTTTCATCACAAAAAAAAAAAAAAAAAAAAACTTCACTATGATGATCTGATAACGGTCAATCTAATAGGCTACCACAACATTATATAGAACGATATTTCTTGTAGGCTATTTCGTTTGTTTGAATGTTTTCCCCCCTTATATTTAAGTGTTGAAGCAGCCGTAAAATGTGTTGAGAAGCAAAAAAACGCAAAAAAATGGTCACGTCTGCATTTAAAGCTGTAGATATGTATTTCTATAAGGATGTAACTTAAGAGATAAAAATGCTGCAATGCGGTGCAAATAACTCAGTTTGCCAAATCGTGATCAGACAGAGATATATAACTCTGTCTGTCCTTTTGCTGAATGGTTGATGGATTTAATTATTAAATAAAATAAACAAACAATTACATCGTATCCGAAAACTGGAGGAACAAAATTAATTTAATTAACAAAAAAAAAAAATGTGTATCTGTTTTTAACAGAGATGGGTTATGTATTTTGTACAGTCTATTAGAATAACGTTTTTTCCCGGGAATGTTTCGGGTTACGAACTTTATAGTAGCCTGCAGTGACGTTTTTGTGAGATGATAGAATATTCGAATGTTGTAGTTTAGCCTAATGGTTATTTTCCCTTGCTTTTTTATTTATTTATTAGAAACTAACGTTCCCAGAACACTCCACACACGCACAAACACACAAAATTGTAGATTTTTTTTTTTGTGTGTAGAAAGTGAGCAATGCTGTATCTTCCCAGGGTGATGGAGAAGAAGCAAAAGACGGGTGAGGTGATCGAGCTGACGGAAGATGGGCGTCCCGCGCAAATGAAAGAGAAGAAAGCGCCTCTGTGCGACTGCACGTGCTTCGGGCTCCCGCGCCGCTACATCATCGCCATCATGAGCGGCCTCGGCTTCTGCATCTCGTTCGGGATCCGCTGTAACCTCGGAGTCGCGATCGTCGGCATGGTCAACAACAGCACCATTCACAGAGACGGCAAGATCATAATCACAGAGGTGAGACTGGACCTCTCTGAGTGATGCTCCTCCCTCGAGTGCCTGTCACTCAGAGCATCCTCATGTGAAGAAACACTTCCACTGATTCAAAAACATCTACATTTTATGAGGACAAACTAATGAAAAATGTTTCACTGAAAGCTTTTGAAGTTACAGTGTTTCATATGTTTATAAAATGACAGCTGAATTAACCGTGCGTTATTATATACATTTTTTCCCCCATATAAGAAAGCTAAGTTTAACTGGGATCCGGAGACGGTGGGAATGATCCACGGCTCGTTTTTCTGGGGCTATATAGTGACACAGATCCCAGGTGGATATATATCCTCACGACTGGCTGCCAACAGGTAACTCACCACACGCATTTAAAAACTGTTGTAGGCCTAATTTTGACAAATATTTAATCATCAATTTATATATTTACAAATAGCCTAGAGATTTATTTCACATAGGTGTTTATATTAGGTTGAAAGGCCTATCCTTCCCTGTCTGTGCTTTATTTGGTTGCCATGAACCCTGAATGCAGAAGAGACACGCTTTCCTCTGGAGACCTCATTAACCAGCAGACATGATCACGTGTCTGCGCTTCCGAGGCACAAAATAACCCCCTTTAACTGATATAGACTCATATTTTTACATAGGACCTGTTTAAATAGGCTATATAATCATTTTGTAGATTTCGTTTTTTAAATATTGTAAGCAAGTGCGCATTTTGAGCCTGCATATGGAACAAGTCTGCCTGAGAGGACCTGTTAAATGTCGATTTTTGATTTCATTGTCCTTGCATCTTGGCTTTAGAATTTCGAGATTTCAATTTCACTAACATGAATTTGATTTCACACATTAAAACCGATGGCTGCAGCTCGTGTAAATTAGATTCCACGCACAATTAATAAAACATGCTCATGCCTTTGAGCGTTAGAGTGATTTCTCTACTAGACAACTGATGCCTTCGGGTAAAACTGAGTAAATGTTCTTATAGCTATCGGGTCCTGGCATGTATTTCCTGCTCAGTTTCTTGCATCTGCACTTTCAGTCACTGCCGATCTGGTGTTATACAGTCTGACTGTTGCCCATGATTTCAAATAATGACCGATATCACCTTGTTTTTCTGTCCGCTGTGGTTTCCAGGGTGTTTGGTGCTGCTATCCTGCTGACGTCCACACTCAACATGTTCATCCCCTCTGCTGCACGAGTGCACTACGGCTGTGTCATGTTCGTGAGGATCCTGCAGGGCCTGGTGGAAGTAAGAGTCTTTCTTTTAATCCAATGCTTATCAAATCTCTGTTTAATTATTTAACACATGTTTTATCCAGAGCATTTACACAGGTTCAGCCCCCCTATAGCAACCAGATGTTGAAATATTATTGGGGTCAAGTTTAATTGGACAAACAAACTGGAAATAATTTCTACTCATCTCTCAGTTCAGAACAAATTAAAATTGTGTTTACAGTAATGCACTTAAGTCAATGGGACAAGTCGTTACACAGATGAATGTTACAGTAAAAGGCACAATTTAAAAAAAGTATAGCCATTAAATTCAAATAAACATAAAATCGACACTTACGTGAATAAAATCGATTACTATCCTTGTCTGTGTGATCAGTAACACTTTACAATAAGGTTCCGTTTGTAAAGACTATCATAAAGAATATGCATATCAATAAAATTTTTAACAGTTCAACATGGATTTCCTTAGAACAAAGCTCAAAGTTTTAAAACTTAAGGGAGTGCTTGTAACATGTCATTCCTCATTACCTTTTTTAAATGTGAAACACAAAAGAAGAAACTTCAAGAAATATTTTGGACCCCATATCTTCAAAATATCTCTTTTGTATGTGAAGAAATCAAGTCATTAAAGTCCCACTCCGATCATATTTTGAGCTATTTGTAAACATTACCAGTGGTCTTTAAATTATGATTATGCCATTTTTAGCCAAACTCACAAAACCTGTGCCGTTTTCTGGGACTTTGCTTCAGCAGAGCAGCAGCAGCTCATTAGCAATTCGCCTCTGCGTTGTGGGCGGAGCCGTTGGCACGGAGATGACCCTCCCCCTGCCCGTTGCTGAGAGCTCTGTCTCTCCCGCTAGCTTACACCCCCAACCTGTCATTACCGGTGCAACAAAAATTGAGAGCAATATTGGAGCTATCCAGCCGTACAGTGCGTTTTCGTTTTAAAACGCATAACTTTTGCAACGATTATGCGCTCCTGCCGTCCACATTACTGACCCTCGGCCTCGAAAACGGAGACTGACCCCTTCAGTCGAGTCCGATGCAAGACACGCAAGTGACGCAACCCATAGCAACGAGTCATGGCAACGACAGCTCAAACCGACAGAAACATACAAGTAAACGTGAATTTTGTCACATTGTCATGTTAATTATAATCAAATGCATTTTGTTTTATTGAAAACAATATTATCATTGATATTTGTTTGAGAGGGGCACTTTCGATTAATTTTAACAAGCTTGTGGCCACGCCCAGTGGAGTTACTACGTCACAACTCCAGTCTATTTTGAACGGCATTTTAGCGTCTGCTACTGATTCACAGCCATTTGAATGTAGAAATACTCAGAAATACAACTTTGAGCTTATTTTTCTCAAGATATGTCCTCTAACATAAGAAAAATGCCACAAGAACATGTTAACACCTAGAAAAACATTATTTTCATCGGAGTGGGTCTTTAAGGTGAACAATATTTTTTTCTTTTCAGGATGAACTTTCACTTAGAAAAATGTTGTATTTCAAAATAATATTGAAATTTACCTGAATAGAATTCACAAAAATATGGTTTTGAACCATGTATTTTACACCAACGCACAGAACACGGTTAGAGAAAACGTTTGTGTAGTGTGGTGGATTTGTGTATTGCCTCTATAACCAGTGCAATTCCTTGATCTTCCTCCTTGAAAAAGGTAATAGGACGTCCCATGTGCATTTTAACACTGTCTCTATAAAGGTTCTTTATTGGCACCGATGGTTTCATGCAGAACCTCTAACATCCTTGGAACAAAAAGTTCTTTACACTGGAAAACGGTTCTTTAGATTATTAAGAAAATGTTCTTCACTAATAATAAAAAAAAATGGTTCTGTTAAGAACTGTTCACTGAAAGGTTCTTTGGGGAGCCAAATATAGTTCTTCTATGGCATCACTGCGAAAACCTCCCTTTTGAAATCTTTATTTTTAAGAGTGTATCAGCAGACACACCGAAAGCACAGGAGTGAATAAACAAATTATGAAACGCTTGAAAAGGAGAGTACTGACTTATGATGTCATCTCTTATTCAAACAAAACTCAAAAGATGAACACTAAAAGAGTATTAGCAGCTGCTTGCTGGCTTTGTCTGTGCGCCGGTCGCCTGCTATTCTACACTATTGTTCAGTATATGACGAGTGCTGACTGTACATGAATTAAAACCCATTTGAGGTTATTGTAACCACACTAGCTTGTGTTGTGTGTATTGACATTAGCTCTGCGGATGTGCTCTCCTTTGCTGGCTGCAGCAATTTGTGTCTATCAGTGACTGATTCTGTGACAATTAGCTAGTAATGAAGATTTAATGGGCAGCATTAGTGTGTTTGTGGTGGATCAGATCTGATCTGCTTGCGTTTGCGCAAGTCTGCATGCACGGATCATTAATCCTTATTTGAATTGCGATTGTATGCGTTACTGTTCATTGGTCAGGGTTATATTTATCTCTGTTTTTTATGACCCCTTGTAAGGTATTTCCTAAGAACTTTTGTTCTAGAGCTTTTAAATATTTTTATTCCATATATATTAAGCGCGTCAGTTCTGGCAGGTCACGTTAGTCAGGAGCTCATTACCCTCCTCTATCCCCAGATCATCCTCTCGCCAGTCAGGATTTGGCATTCTGATTCCTCCTGAATCAGACTAAAATTCTCTAATTATGTTGTACATTAAAATTAATTAACAAAATCTGCAATACATTCATGTTGGTTCTGTTCTTTACCCTAAGGGGGGTTTTCGCTGTGCTCCTGCTCTCTGCTTTATACATGCGCAGGGAGTTCTTGCCCAGAACAGAACTATACCGCCAATCCTAACTATATGCTAATGGTCAATCGTATTTGACGATAGTGGTCCTGACAGAAATATATAAACGATGCTTAATTGGTACTAACAGGGTTGAGAGTAACACATTACAAGTAACTCGAGTTACGTAATCAGATTACTTTTTTCAAGTAACTTGTAAAGTAACGCATTACTTTTACATTTTAAATTTACAAATTTACATCCTTAAAAAGTTACCTTTTCAAATAAGTAATGCATGCAAGTTACTTTGTTTTCTCATTTTTTGACTAGCTCTCTCGTAGCCATGTTGAGAAAAATCGTAAGTTCAGAGGCGTTGTGTGTAAACATGATGGTTATTGTATAGTTCTAGCCTAAATGTGAGTATGTATTTACAAATCTCACTTGCACAAAAAAAGATTCAGTATTCCTCAAAATGAATAAGATTTGTGAAATACAAAATCAGAATATTATGCAAACCTCTCCAATAATTAAATATGTTAAATAAAACAAATATTTGTATGCATTTAATCTCACTTTATTGACCAATTTACTTGCCTCTGACTTTTGATGATTCCGTTAAATCATAAGCAAATGTGACTTTCGATTTTTTAGTTTTTATTGGTGAAGTAAGTGTTAAACTTTCTTCTCCTGCATTCTATTCTTCTGCGATCCAGAACAACAGCACAGCTGAGCGGTTTGTTTGAGCTGCGCCCTCTATTGTACAGGAGAGAATTTGCATTCCCTTCAGCTTTATTATTTAAATTTTGGTGTGAAAGGGCCCAAAAGTAGAACTTTTTGTTATAAAAACAAAACAAGCCCAGCCCAGGTGAGAAAAAGTAACGCTAAAGTAACATAACACATTACTTTTCTTAAAAAGTAACTAAGTAGCACAATTAGTTACTTTTTAAGGGAGTAACGCAATATGCATTACTTTTAAAAAGTAATTTTCTCCAAACCTGGGCCCATATCCCTAAAGAATTTTTGTGCAAAAAGTGGCTCCTAGCGGCCAAATTCTAAGAAAATTCTCAGAGTCATGACGTTTTCTTAGAATTTCCCCTAAAAGTGACACGAAAATCCCAGTTAATATAAAAGCTATCCCTCAAGATTCCTAGCGCTTAAAAGGGCTCCTAAGGCGAGATCTGCTAAGAGCAGGGAAGAGGACTTTTAGTGGCTTAGGAGTTCAAGGAGTTGTAGGATATTTGTTAACAAGCCTTCATAAATAGACCAGCCAGCAATCACAGACATTGATAAAAGCTGAGCCGTGTTACCCTCGTTAAGACCACACTGAGTTGTAACGTTGCAATTTCTACTTCATTAAGGACAGCCCCTTGAGATAGGCCATCTTGTTTTCAATGGGGTCCATATGGGAGTGAAAATACAAAATATGCCAGCTAAGATATTAATATGAGCATATAAGACACGAATCATTATTTGAACAGGGTGTAATGAGCTTAAGTTTTCACATATTTTAGATTCTAATGTTAGGCTATAACCCCTACAGCTTACTATTCATTTTCCAGATATTTTCTTGAATGTGAACTATTATTTACAATTACAGTCTGCATAAGATTAGAGTGTATAATTATATTTATTGATTTGAGGGTACATCCTTTGCTCATTATCACCAAAAGTTCATTTTCATCAAACTTGTAGGATCAACCAATCACGGCTTTTGAAATGATGACTCATACCTAGCAACGGGGTCAACCACACCTCCTCACTAAGATAGGATTTTCCATCCATTCCTTGCTCAGAGTTCACTGAAAATGTTCTGGAATCACTTCTAAGCTAAAACTCCTGGCAAGGAATTTTTAGGTTAAGTTAGGAGCTCTCTGAGAGGATTCTCAGAATTTTTAGGGATATGGGCCCTGGGTATTAAGAGGCCCAAATTGTGCCAAGAAAATATCCTCCACACCGTAACACCACCAGCAGCCTGAACCGGGATGGATCCATGGCCGCTTTCATGTTGCCTTATGCCAAATTCTGCCCCTACCGTCTGAATGTTGCAGAAGAAATCGACACGGGCAGTATTCTATTGTCCAATTTTGTTGAACGCGTATGAGTTGTAGCCTCAGTTTCAGTTCTCGGCTGACAGGAGTGTATTCTGCTGCTGTAGCCCGTCTGCTTCGAGGTTGGACGTGTTGTTCGTTCTGAGATGCTCTTCTGCAGACCTCGGCTGTGACGAGTGTTTATTTGAGTTACTGTTGCCTTTCTATCAGCTCAACCCGTCTGGCCATTCTCCTCTGACCTCTGGCATCAACAAGGCAATTCCGCCTACAGAACTGCCGCTCACTGGATATTTATAGTTTCGGATAGTTTCAGTAGTTTTGTGATAATCCCAGCAGATCAGCAGTTTAAATACTCAGACCAGCCCGTCTGGCACCATGCTCAAAGTCACTTAATTCACCTTTCTTCCCCATTCTGATGCTCAGTTTGAACTTCAGCAGATTTGTATTGACCATGTCGTAATGAAAATATTTAAAATCTTTCTTTTATGTATATATGTATATTTTTATGTATACATATATAACACTATTGTAATACATATAAAATATTGTGTGTGTCCAGGGTGTGACCTACCCAGCATGCCATGGAATTTGGAGCAAGTGGGCTCCACCCCTTGAGAGAAGTCGCCTAGCAACCACCTCTTTTTGTGGTAAATACAGTTTGCCTTTTTAAAAGCATACACAACACAGAATACCCCAAATAAAACCTTTACAAACGCCCTGTTTCAGGTTCATACGCGGGTGCTGTGATCGCCATGCCGTTGGCAGGAATATTAGTGCAGTACTCAGGCTGGTCTTCTGTCTTCTATATATATGGTAGGTTTATAGTCTTGACTGCGAACTCTGAAATTATAACAGAATGTTCTTTTTTGTGTGTACTTGTTCTCCATGATTTTCTCTCCATTGGGCTACAGGGTGTTTTGGGATTTTCTGGTACATGTTTTGGATTCTGGTTTCATATGAGAGCCCAGCAGATCATCCCACCATCACAGATGAAGAGAGAACTTACATAGAGGAGAGTATTGGAGAAAGTGCCAATCTACTTGGGCCGTCTGAGGTACGTTTTCTTGTGTGGTTTCTCCTGGAGAAATCCGAAGATCCCATGAAATCAAATTTGGGTATTAGTCCATGTCTATTAGCTGTAAGATAGCAGTGCTGAAGCAAATCATGTTATTTTTTTTTCTCAAGTTGTCTGTGTTCTAAGAGCGTTTGCCCTGGAGAGCTTGAGAATCTTTTAGATTCCTTTTCATGTCAATGGCAGTTGTGCAGCTTGAGAATATAAACCCATTACATGCTGTTAAGTGTAAATAAGTAAATACAGGAACTGTGTAACGTTCAGGCTGAGGAAGAAGATGAGGCAAGGTGTAGCGGATCTAAATGACAGCATAACTTTATTAAACAAAACAAAAGAGAATAATCCAACACGAAGAATCAAAGAAACAGTGTTCATAAGCACATCCATCACCCGATAATGAGTAAATGAAAATGAGGGCATTACAGGTGAAACTCGAAAAATTTGAATATGGTGCAAAAGTTCATTTATTTCAGTAATTCAACTTAAAAGGTGAAACTAATATATTATATAGACTCATTACATGCAAAGTGAGATATTTCAAGCCTTTATTTGTTATCATTTTGATGATTATGGCTTACAGATATGAAAACCTTTTTCACAATATTCTAATTTTGAATTTGGGGTTTTCATAAGCTGTAAGCCATACTCATCAAAATTACAACAAATAAAGGGTTGAAATATCTCACTTTGCATGTAATGAGTCTATATAATGTATTAGTTTCACATTTTAAGTTGAATTACTGAAATAAATGAACTTTTGCACCATATTCTAATTTTTCGAGTTTCACCTGTATATACACAACTAACTAAGGATCATAACAAGGAACAGGTGTGTAAAATCAATGAATTAATAAGTAACCATGACAACCAATGATAAACGTGCTAGAAACCATGACAACAGAAAGGAAACAGTAAATAATGAAGACAAACTAAGGGTTTACACTACATTTACACAGCAACTAGGCACTAAAAACGAAAAAGTTTTTCCTTTGCGTGTTTTATGTACAGACAACAACGTTGTCAAAACGATTCCCGTTTACACGGATCAGTGAAATAAAACCGCTGTATTCTGTTGCCAGGCCAGTAGTTGGCGATGTTACTTTGTAAAGAAACACTACGCATCTATAGAGTGAACATGTAATACGCATGCGTATGACATCACCATTTTCACAAAATCAAGTGTTTGTAGTTTAAACGGAGATAAAACCGGTATTGTTTCAAAAACGTGCACTTTGAAACCCATTTTCTAAGTTTGTTTTCAGACCCCCAAAACATTGTAGTCATGTAAATGAACGGCCAAAACTCATACAAAGTTTTTCCGTTTTCCATGATTAGTCGTGTATTGACTTAAAGTCGTTGAAAATTAAACTGAAAACACCACAGTACGTGACAAACTGGTAAAAATCTACTATCATTTAATCTTTTTTTATTGTATTTATTTGTTTCTTTCAAAATGTTTTTTTTTTTTATCATCAGAATACATTCAACTTCTGAATATCCATAAATAGAGAGACTAGAAAGTTGTAGTTCAAAAATCCTGCATGTTAAACTGTTTTGATTGCTTAAAATCTTCATGCTACAGGTCTTCTATAGATTTATTAATATGTTTCTTTTTTCTACAGAAATACAAGACACCCTGGAGGAAGTTCTTCACCTCCATGCCGGTCTATGCAATCATTGTGGCCAACTTCTGCCGGAGCTGGACCTTCTATCTGTTGCTCATCAGTCAGCCGGCGTACTTTGAAGAAGTGTTTGGCTTTGAAATCAGTAAGGTGAGAAAATTTAGGGAGAAAATGTTTTTGCATTAATCAAGTCTCAATATTTGACAGCTCGTATAAGGCTTACACATGTGTTTGTGTATTTGATGTATGAATTCTTCTCATATGCAATCCTTTCTGGCCAGGCTTGAATCATTACTATCTGTTGTGTCTGACCCCTCATTCACTGAGTCGCCGTATTGGATTGTATTTGAGATGTTGGGCATTCAGAAATGTGTGTTCATAGTGGCGTACATAAATGAAAGCTGACATTGTTATTGATCTTCGGCTCCTGAGCTGAGAGAGTGATATAAATCCTGCAAGCCTGACAGGAGTAATTGAACCACTGCTTTAATTCTGCTGGTCAAACTGTCTCATAGGTGCAGTATGGGAGATTGGACTTACAAGTTGTTTTGGGGTTTTATCAGCCAGGGCTTGTTCAGGATTTCCATTTTAGTGATATTTTTTAAGCCACACATTTGGTTATTTGGGATGCTATACTGTATTGTAGAGGCTTTCAGTGTTTTCACAGTGTTTCTCAGCCAGACACTGTTCACTCCCGTTCACCCAAAACATCTAAACCCGTATGACTTTGTTCTTCTGTGGAAAACTAGAACATTTGCATAATATCGCAGCAGTTGTTATGCAAGTATCTTACAAGTTGTCTAAATGACTTAAAACTACGTTTTAAGCCATACCCTGAATTTGTGTGAGTAATATGTGCAAATAAGCTCTAAAATGTCTCAAACTTACTATGACTGGTCATTATACATGCACTTTTAATCTGTGCAACCCTTTTAGCATACTTTTAAAAAGGGTATTATGGAAATAATCTACTTTAAAAGAATATACAGTACTTAAATGTGAACTGGATGTTTTTGGACACTTAATTGCATGTCATTCAGAATAAAATGAAAATGTATTATAGTGTAAATTCATATTAAATGATATTAGCTGAAATTAAGAGTGCTTTTTGACCCACTTTTATTAGGATTTATGTACATATTAATGTAATTTCTTAATTGTCTTTGAAATATGTTTAAAGTGTACTGCCGAATGTACTGACAAGCATTTATCGTAAACTAAAATATACGTAATTTCTATTGAAACGTGTATGTTGTGTATTAAATATATTTGTAATTACACATTTTGCAATGTTTTTAGTATCCAATATAGATGAAGATAAAATAGCAGCGTGGTTTATTAAATAAAGCAAAACAGATCTTCAAAAGGCTGCAAACACAACGAAACCAGACAATGAACTGAGGGACTTAAGGGGGTCCTATTGTGCTTGTTCACTTTTTCAACTTTAGTTAGTGTGTAATATAATGTTCTGTTTGAGCATAAAAAAGATCTGCAAGATTACAAATCTCAACGTCCACTCCAAATTGTGATATTTTATTTAACAGAATCAAGAACTACAACAAACGACTCATTTGGACTACAACGCGTTTTTTCTGAAATCTTATGAAGTCACAATGTTACTAATTTAATCTCCGCCCAACGTCTGATGTTTATGTTTTGCTTGGCGTGAGAAAGATACATAAACCACGTGAAATCCGGATTTCCAAAACGGATTTCCAAAAATGCGATTTGAACAGGATTTCAAACCGCAAAATAATGTAGCTTGAAACGGATTTGTAAAAATAGCATTTCATGTTTTGTTTTTTTGCCGTTCACACTTGCTATCGGATATGCACCAAAAAAAATCTGATTTGGACTGAACAAGGCTTAAAAGTCCATGAAAACAAAAGTACAACACACTAATCGTGACACATTTGTACATTTAGTACATATATTTAACTTTAAAAATCAAATAGCACACTACAGTTAATATAATAAATATAATAAAGTACAATATAATAAACTATAATAAAATATTTTACATGTTAGCCAAGACATTTAAATAGGTATATTTCTTTAAAGCATGACAAAAGATTATTAAAACAATGATTTAAAATGACATTATTACAAAGTGAATTTTGTGTACAAAGTGTACTTAAGTGTTTTAAGAAACATAGTCATGAAAGTGTACTCTTAAAGTACACTTAAGTGGCATTTTATTTCATTTATATCTGCAAGTACAGGTTTTTTTTTAAATACGTAAAATATGCAAATAGATTTAATATTTGAAGTACACTATAAGTGCACATGCACATTCAATACAATTAAGTTCATTTCCCTTCTTTTTCACAAGGGAAATCCAAATGAGCTTTAAAGCTTTAGCGGAGGAGACTTACAAGTGCGTAAAAATAATAAAAATCACCAAAAGTGTGGCTCAGAATCACATGGGTTTGGAACGAGTATATCTTGTAAATGGTTATTTTTTTTCAGTTTTCCTCATTGTGATGTTTTCTTTGGCTGTTGTCAGGTCGGTATGCTCTCTGCTTTACCCCACCTGGTTATGACCATCATAGTGCCAATTGGCGGCCAACTGGCTGACTACCTGCGGAGAAAAAACATCTTATCCACCACCACCGTCAGGAAGATCATGAACTGCGGAGGTGAGAGTGACCATATTTGATTACATTATTTGTATCTTTTATGAAATGAATAAAAAAATATTTGTTGGTGTGACCTTTGACCCACCATGTGACTGCAGGGTTTGGAATGGAGGCCACGCTGCTGTTAGTGGTGGGTTTCTCTCACAGTAAAGGTGTGGCCATCTCATTCCTGGTGCTAGCCGTTGGTTTTAGCGGATTTGCTATATCAGGTGAGACGCTTTATAATTCTGTTGTCACACACTGACATGTTATAGACAGGGGTGCACATAACTGGTACGCAGGTACGCATGCGCGACATAAATCAGGAATGAGTAATGCCACTTCTGTTACTACGCGCCTTTGCGTAACTGTCGCCAAAATGCAACCTAGGGTCTTTTTGTTAATCTACTCGAGGCAAACTTTCGTTTAAAAGCATAATTAGAATGGAAACGCCACTTTTAAGTTTGACCGTATTTTCGTTTTCGGTCAAATTGCCTTTTGAATGGGAGAGCTAGGGGCACGTATATGATAGCAACAAAAATCGCTATTTTTAAAACACTAAGAAGGCTCGACACAACATGAAACTTTGCTCAAAGTATCACCAGGGGACATGAACTCCAGCATTGAGAACATTGTTTGTGTACACAGAGTTTACTAAAAAGAAAGATTTTGAACAATTCACTGTAGCTGTGTCCGCCGGAACAGTAACACCGGCATTTTGTCAGTCAAAAATAGTCGATCTCCGAATGCGAAGGAACTGACTCTGAATTGTAGTATTGTTTCTTATGAGGATCCTTTTTCAAATACAAGGTCAATATTGTTTTTCACTTACGACAAAACAACAAATTATCGGTGAATTTTTATGGAACTAAGCTTTAGGAGCTTTCCATCTTTACTCTCCTCCCTGTTAAGTTGCATTCGGAGATCGACTATTTTTGACTTACAAAATACCGCTGACAGTGAGTTGTTCAAAATCCTCACCATGAAGTCTAATGAACGCGATGGAAACTAAACAATCAAATTACACTTCAAAATAATTATTTCCAAAGATGTTTTCTGTCATTTTAGGTAGTTTTATTCACACTGATGTAAATTTAAGTGTTCGTTTTTTAAAATAAGTTTGGTCTTTAGTTAGTTATTTGATGCTATAAAACCGGGAATGTGACATCATGATTGACAGCTTCTACACTGAGGAGGACTGCACTTATTAAGACCAGGCTACATATGGGGTGAGTACCAAACACCATCTCCTGGTACTCACCTGAGTAACTCACTGAAAAAGTTATGTGCACCCCTGGTTATAGACATCATTGCAAGTTTTGAAATCCCATTTTGATTTAAAAAATATATAAAATAAATGTCTCCCAATAGTTCTGAATTTCTTTTATTCAATCCGGCTCCTCTCTAAGGTTTTAATGTCAACCACTTGGACATTGCGCCAAGGTATGCCAGCATCCTGATGGGCATTTCTAATGGAGTGGGCACACTTTCTGGTATGGTCTGCCCTCTCATTGTTGGAGCTATGACCAAAAATAAGGTGAGAAATCCTGAAATTATTCACATGTTCTTTATTCATTTAATCATGTTTTTTTGTTATCATAAGTAACACTTTAAAGCCTGACAGATGATAGTCAGAATTGTTTTTATTTTTATGGAACAGTTCATTGAACCTTTAGGAAATATATATATTTGTTTGTATATATATATATAGGCCTATATAAACAAAAGGTTTGCATATATGTTTTTTGTTGAGTATCGTATTTGATACATCAGGCATTTATGGCTCATATAGTAAGAATATGGAGCTTATACTCGAGGACAAAAAAAAGGCCCAAACTGAGCATTTGGTGCAGTTATTTATATGGCCAAAAAGTGAGATGAAATTCTGATAGCTTGTAATATAAATCAATGATATTTATAACAGTAAAGCAGACAGTACACAGTTGTACTTACATAAAATGCATATAAATATCAGTTCTCTAGATCTCTCAATAATATGCCTTACACTGTAAACCCGAATAAGTTAGCAAAAAAATGTAGGTAATTAATTAGTTATGTAAAAACTGTGCTTTCGCGGGTTGGCTGGAGCCAGAGACGGACGAGCTCAGCACTTGTCATATATCACAACTATTTGCAGTGTTTTCAAACACATAATGTTTAATTTAGGTTTCAGACATTTAAATACACATAAGCACTAGTAAAACAATACATTTGGAGTTTGTAAAATACACACTGATGTCTATGGAAGTAGCAATAATTTTTCAAATATAATTAGCAGATGTGTGTTATGCATATCAGATATACAGTGCAAGTACTATAAAGTTTACTCTATTCTTTTCCCTGTTCACTGGACACTTTCTTACATGTATTTCGGGAGAAACTGATGAATTATGCTGTAAATCGGACTGACAGGACTCTCTGAACTGCGGCGCAAACAAACGTGGCGGCGCCCATCTCACGTTATAGATCAAGATTATTTATAAAGGTTTTAAACGACAAAACACTCACTTATAAGTATTTGAGAATCAGAATATCAGATAGTTGTTGACATGGTAAGCAAATTTGGGAATATTTTGAATAAAATAGGAAAAAAATATATTTAAAAGCGATACATATATCATATAGTGTTATTGTGGCTTCGGTGTATCACATGACAAGCATGATGCGTCGCCATGGAAACATTAAGGGGGAACGTTCTAAAATAACGGTCGCCATGAAAAACTCACTCTGGGGGTGGGGGTGGGGGGGGGGGGGGGGGCGGTGGGGGGTCAGTTAGAATATTTTAAACTTACGTGTGAAAGGGTTAATAAAGGCCTTCTGAACTGAAGCGATGTGTTTGTAAGAAAAATATCCATATTTAAAACTTTATCAACTACTAGCTTCCGGTAGACAGCCGTACCCATACTACGCAAGTCGACTTGCACCACAAGAGTAGCCAGTGACGCATGTATGACGTAGGAGTAGCGCAAGTTTAGACACCTCTCGCGGTTCAAACAAAAAGGGCTGGGCAACAAACTCAAGCTAGTCTGACATCTCTCTTTAAAAACTCTCGTTTTGGTGTTTTGTTTCGGTCTATCCTCTGCGCTTCCGCATTCATCAATGCGTCGGGTCAAGAATTAGTCTTCCACCGTGAATCGATACATACGGTCGTCTGCCGGAAGCTAGTTATTCAGGTTGATGAAGTTTTAAATATGGATATTTTTCTTACACGAACGCGTCGCTTCAGAAGGCCTTTATTACAGAGAATGGGAGGATCTAAACGCAGGGTTTTTAAACAGTAATACATTAAACCGATAACACAGAACTTAAGGAACAAAACCACGAGGATCACGGAGACAGAAGCAACCAGGCCAGGCCAGGGAGGCTTGTCCGGAGACACAGGCGTAGCGGCGACCATCTTGTCCGAGGACTCTGGAAGGGCGGCCATGACGGGACGAGACTCTGGAAGGGCGGCAATGACGGGACGAGACTCTGGAAGGGCGGCAATGACGGGACGAGACTCTGGAAGGGCGGCAATGACGGGACGAGACTCTGGAAGGGCGGCAATGACGGGACGAGACTCTGGAAGGGCGGCAATGACGGGACGAGACTCTGGAAGGGCGGCAATGACGGGACGAGACTCTGGAAGGGCGGCAATGACGGGACGAGACTCTGGAAGGGCGGCCATGACAGGACGAGACTCTGGAAGGGCGGCCATGACGGGACGAGACTCTGGAAGGGCGGCAATGACGGGACGAGACTCTGGAAGGGCGGCAATGACGGGACGAGACTCTGGAAGGGCGGCAATGACGGGACGAGACTCTGGAAGGGCGGCAATGACGGGACGAGACTCTGGAAGGGCGGCAATGACGGGACGAGACTCTGGAAGGGCGGCAATGATGGGACGAGACTCTGGAAGGGCGGCCATGACAGGACGAGACTCTGGAAGGGCGGCCATGACGGGACGAGACTCTGGAAGGGCGGCAATGACGGGACGAGACTCTGGAAGGGCGGCAATGACGGGACGAGACTCTGGAAGGGCGGCAATGACGGGACGAGACTCTGGAAGGGCGGCAATGACGGGACGAGACTCTGGAAGGGCGGCAATGACGGGACGAGACTCTGGAAGGGCGGCCATGACGGGACGAGACTCTGGAAGGGCGGCAATGACGGGACGAGACTCTGGAAGGGCGGCAATGACGGGACGAGACTCTGGAAGGGCGGCAATGACGGGACGAGACTCTGGAAGGGCGGCAATGACGGGACGAGACTCTGGAAGGGCGGCAATGACGGGACGAGACTCTGGAAGGGCGGCAATGATGGGACGAGACTCTGGAAGGGCGGCAATGATGGGACGAGACTCTGGAAGGGCGGCCATGACGGGACGAGACTCTGGAAGGGCGGCCATGACGGGACGAGACTCTGGAAGGGCGGCAATGACGGGACGAGACTCTGGAAGGGCGGCAATGACGGGACGAGACTCTGGAAGGGCGGCAATGACGGGACGAGACTCTGGAAGGGCGGCAATGATGGGACGAGACTCTGGAAGGGCGGCAATGATGGGACGAGACTCTGGAAGGGCGGCAATGACGGGACGAGACTCTGGAAGGGCGGCAATGATGGGACGAGACTCTGGACGGGCGGCAATGACGGGATGAGACTCTGGAAGGGCGGCAATGATGGGACGAGGGCGGCAATGATGGGACGAGACTCTGGAAGGGCGGTCATCTTTACAGAGGGCTCTGGTGTGGCGGCGGTGGTGGCCATCTTGGCAGAGGGCTCTGCCTTAACTGAACTCTGGACAGAGACTGGAGACTGAAGGACTGAAGAGTAATGCTCCAGTTGGGAAGGTTGGGGCGAGGGTTCCTTCCACCTCACCTACTGTGTAGGACGATCCACTTAGCCTCAGGACATTCCTGAGGTACTGCTGCAGGGAACAAGTGTTGTTGAAGCCGCTGGAACCTGTTGGACAAGATGATAGTCCAACCCGCTCCAAAACAGTTTTTAAGGTGCCCTCATTCCAAGGTACCATGTAGGAGCATTCTAAAAATTCCTCCACATTATCCTCAATCAGGCGGCCATCTTGTCTCGTGGAGAGGAGCAGGTTGGCAGGATCAAACAAAGTGGTGCCTATGCTGCCATAAGCCGTCTTAGGTCAGGTTGTTACTGCCAGATCCAATTGCAGTCAGTTGTTCTGTAATGTGCTGGCGAAAACTGGAGAATGGGAGGATCTAAACACAGGGTTTTTAATAAAGTAATACACTAAACAGATAACACAGAAACAACGGAACAAAACCACGAGGATCACCGAGACAGAATCAACCATTACATGTACACCATCTGACAAAGTGAAACACAAGGGCTTTAAATACACAGGGGCAAACAACTTAACTAGATAATGAGGAAACAAGATACAGCTGGGGAGACTAATCAACATAAAAAAACTACAAAGGACCTGCCACAGAACAGGAAATAACAAAAGTCCACACAAGACAAGGGGAACACAAGACAGGAATCATGACAGTGACAATAATGTAGCATACAAAACATAACATGTTTATTGTTGCATAATGTTGCAGTTTGTGATCAACAGACAAGCATTCAACTCTAAACACAGCCAAATAGAACTACATCATTTTTACAAAAATTGCATTGTTGTTTTCTGAATTACAAAAAGTCAAAGATTGCATTATAAGGGCCAGATTTACTAAACAGGGCAAATTAGTAGTAAATCACCTTGCATGATTCATTTAAATACGCTCCTCCCATAGATGTTGATTCTGAAGGGGAAACTCCTACAAATGCATAAGCCCAGCCGCAAAAATAACCCTGTCCACGACTTTACAGCGCTAATTTTACACTGCGTGTCTTTAGGAAATCCTGACAGTAGTTTTTTAACTCCAAAAGAGGGTTTGTGCTGGTGCAAGCTGTCATGAAATCCGGCCCTAAATTGTCTCTTTCTTGTCCACCAGACTCGTGAGGAATGGCAGAACGTGTTCCTGATCGCCTCACTGGTGCATTACGGTGGTGTCGTGTTCTACGGGATTTTCGCGTCCGGAGAGAAGCAGCCGTGGGCAGATCCAGAGGAGACCAGCGAGGAGAAGTGTGGCTTCATCGATGAAGACGAGTTGGCGGAGGAGACCGGTGACATCACGCTGAGCAGCGCTCCTTTTGGAGGCCAGGCCGGTCTTGGAGGCCCCGCCAAAACATATGGGGCCACAACACAGCTGAATGGGGGATGGGCGAAAAGCTGGGAGAAATCCGAGGAATACATCCAGGAGGACGCCGAGCAGACGTATAGAGGAGACGGGTACTCGTAGATATTTCATTTCCAATGAGTCAAAACATAACAAATCTTTTGAAATAAGACAAAGTAAAAAATAAATAAAGAGAGATATAAGTGATTATAGACACAGTACTCAACAAGCATAGCTGTAGGAGTCAGATACATCTTTTAAAAAGAGTCTTTATCCAATCTGAATATTTAAAGAAAATATTTAAGAAGGAATAATGGATTGAGATATATAAATGAGAATATACAGCTAATTAGATATAAAATGTCATATTTAGGATTATATAAAGGATTTATATGGCTAAATCAGTTTAAAGACAATGTAAATGTTTCTTTTAAAAGAATATTTAATAGCACAGACATCTGTAATCAAAGCACAGGTCTTGGCTGTTTTTTTTTTACAGGTTTAGACTAGTTTTGTTTTAGTTTTGTGTCTGTAACTTTAATAGATGAGTAGTTGAGTTTAAGTTTAATTGGTCAGGACCAATCAGAGCAGAGTACAGTAGAGTAGTTTAGATTAACATGTAGTTTTGTTCAAAAGAAACAAGTGTTTACTCTGGTTTAAAGAGCTCTTGCCATTGACCTTACAGAAAATATGCAAAATTTGGGTTATTTAACTATATTATATAACTTAAACCTACAAAGAATGCTGTTTATCATTATGTTCATGTACTGTATTACACGTTATAAACTGGTCCCTTTAATTGGGACATAAACCTAGAAGGTAGAGCAAAAATAGACATTATAACTGCTTGGTGCAGAAAGAATCTAATGGCACAAATTTGCAAATATAACTGCTATATCTGATACTCATGTGTATTAAAATAAGTGTGAAATATATTGAAAAACCTTTAAATGTTTGAAACGTCCTAAAGTACACTTGAGAAATTTTTAAAGTGCGATCTTGTATAAATTTTGTTCAGCTACTTTACATCAATGATACATTCAAGTGTGTGCTTGGCAATACAGTCCTGTATTTTAAGTGGTATTAAGCTGGTCTTCATTTAAAATGTTTCATCATAAAATGTTTAACCACCATATAATGACAAACCAGACATTTTGATACTTTGAATGCACTGACATGTTGTTATTTGAAAAGAAAAAAAATAAGTCATTTCTATCTCAAGTATGTGTTTTGACATGGATTTACTGTTTCTGTGAGACTGTTGTGAAGCTGGGTCAGTGATATCTGTGCTTACTGTTTATTGGGCCATATTTATCATATAAACTGTCATAAGAGCGAGGCGGTTCATGTGGGATGTATATTGTGATGCAACTGAGAGCCTTGTATGGTCGAAAGGACCAGGTGATCATCTAACGTATTTAACTGTCGCCATGCAAAGCTGATGTGATGTGTTCTTGAGTGAATCTCACGAAAAGTCAGGAACAAGTCTACAGGTCTTATTTCACCTATTTCAGTTAGTTAGTATTTATTAAAAAATAATAAATGGTCATTAATTGCTCACCCTCATGCTGTCCCAAATAAGACTTTTGTTCATCTTGGAAACACAAATGAAGATCATTCAAATAAAATCGGAGAGATTCCATTGACAGCTCTGCAACTACCACTTTGATGCTTCATAAAGTACAACTAATCCGTATGAATCAAGTGGTTCAGTTCAAATTTTCGGAAGAGACTTGATCGCTTTATATGATGAACCGATTTAATTTAGTCTTTTATACACATCACATCAGCGAATCATCAGCGAATATAAACAGAAGTTCAACCATAAGTGCTTGACACGTGAGAACAAACCTCATTGGTTCTTCTCAAATGTGCTGCGTAACACCAGAATGAACATCATTGGTTCTTGCATGTCAAGCAATCATGTTTGAGCTTCTTTTTAACTTAACTGATGTGTGAGTTGATGATTAAATGTGATTAAAAGCCTAAATTCAATCTGTTCATCATATAAAGTGATCTATTCTCTTCAGAATATTTGGACTAAACCACTAATTCATATGGATTAGTTTTACGATCTCTTTATGAACTTTTTGATGCATCAAAGTGGTAGTTGCAGAGCTGTCAATGGAGGGACAGAAAGCTCTCAGATTTCATCAAAAAGATCTTCATTTGTGTTCAGAAGATGAACAAAAGTGAGGGTGAGTAATTAATGACATAACTTAAATTTTTGGGTAAAGTTACCCTTTAAAAAGACATATTTTGCATTAAGAAAATCAAGAAAGTTTATTGGACCTGTTTTTTGACAATTACGACAATTAAGCACATTTCCCCCAAATTCTAGTTATAGTAATTCAAAAATTAAAAATTATTATACTTTTTTTAATTAAATAGTAAAGTATTTCATAGTCTTATTATTAATATTATTTGTTATAGAAATAAGAAACCTGGGTGGTGCTTATTTTCATGAAAATCATGTCAATGTAATAATAAAAAAATAATCTTATAGTCCTAAAGGCTTCATTTTCTTTGAAAAATGAAATGTAACTTGCACATGTTTTGTAAGATTCACTCTGATGCTCCATTCATGACACAAACCAGTGTGTTGTTAACCAGCAGTAATGTGTCAAAGTCTTACACTGTTCCTTCTTGATCAAAAAATAATAATAAATTAATAAACAAACACAACTATTAGGAACATGTACTGCAATAATTTACTAATAACATCAGCAATCTTGTAATACTCACCATCAACAAATCTGGATTGTGTCTAGTTTACAGAGTCATTGGAATGGTTGCGAAAGTCTTATCGAAACGTCAGAACCCGCTTATGTTTGTTCTGATTAGAAGATACGTGGACATTTTCAGAGGTTGGAATCTGAGCCATGCTTTAAGTTGTTCTGAAACTCAGCTAAATGTTTTCTAGATTTGTGTATTGTGTGATAACTATATCACAAACCTAAAGCTCTTTTCATGGCCTCTTGCCTGAGACTGAAGTGCACAAGTGATTGTTAAATTCTGTTGTTGTGTCAAACAGAGCGATTTGTTGATGTCAAAAAGTGTTAAACTGTATGAACTAAGTGTGATTTTTATATACAATTATTCAAATGAAGACATTATGATGTCTTTCCTTTGATTTTTGTGATCGGTGGACCAAAATTTAAAGGCAATTTTCTGGTTTTGAAAAGATAAGAGTTGATGTTCTTTATAGAGTATGATGATTATTTTTGCATGATATAGTCATTAAAATCATCCTGGGCATTGATTTGTTGTGTCTCTCTTTGATTTTACAGACTTTTCTGTAACTAAGTTTCTCTTTTACAAACATCAGCTTGATAAAGTTCAGTGGATCTCACCTTTTTATGATGTGTTGTTAAAGTTCTTCAGCGCCTGGAGTTCAAGCCAGTTCACTGCATTGATTTCAGTGAGGATGATGTATCACAGCCCTTGTGAAAAACAAGTGTGCTTAATTGTTCTGAATGTGCATTTGCAGTGCACTTAAAATCTTAAAAGTATATTTAAGCCAAAACAATCTCAGTTACTTTAATTTCCTATTATCACTGTAAAGCTGGTTAGAAACAATCTATATTGTTAAAAGCGCTATATAAATGAAGGTGACTTGACTTGACTTTTTATAAATGTATATAATATTAATCAAATAAAAGACCGCTTAAGTGTCCTTAAAGAGAGGACACTTTCATGATTGATTCTCAACACACTGAAGTATACTTTTAAAAAAGTGCACTTATTATTATATTTTTTTTAGTTTTATTTTAAAGTGTATTTTAAATCATTGTTTTAATAATCTTTTGTCATGCTTTAAAGTGCAATTATGTGGATGCGTTGACTAACGTATTTAAGCATATGAAAAGTACTTGTAGTTCTGTAGTGTGTTAAACGATATTACCATGTTTAAAGTTAATATATTTCAAATATTCCAAATGTGCAATTACAAAAATAGTTAAATAAATGACATATGTTTAATAGAAATTGCATTAAAGTATTGTTACATGTGTGTCCTGAGTTTCCCCCCGTTCATTGTGTATTTGGTTTAGTCCTGTGTTCCAGTTTTCCCGCTCCTCGTTTCTGTTCAGTTCCTTCACCTGTGTCTAGTTAATTTGCCCCAGCTGTGCCTTGTTCCCCAATCTGTTCTCTGTGTATGTAAACCCAGTGTTCTCCCTCACTCCTGGTCGGTTATTGTCTATGTTACCAGTGTGTATACTTTGCCCTTCTGCCTGCCAGTATCTGTTTGTTGTTTTGATTTATTAGTAAAAGTGTCTGTCTTTGGACATCCTGTTCTCCTCGTCTTCCTCTGCCTACACCAACCGTAACAGAATAACCGACCAAAAAGTAAAGAAAAGAGGGAAGATGGAGAGCTGGAAGCAGGCCTTTGTGGGAACCCGCCAAGCTGTGTTCCGTGGGACCCGTGGAGGCCGCAGTGGAGGCGGTGGTCGAGAGGAGTCCCGACACAACTCTCCACTCTGGCCTCTCTTCGATCCTGGGTTGGTGGTGTCCAGTTCAGCCAAGCCTTCGCCGCTGGTTCCATCCAGCACCAGGCCCTCTACACCGCTGGTTCCGTCCAGCACCAAGCCCTCTTCACCGCTGGTTCCGTCCAGCACCAAGCCCTCTTCACCGCTGGTTCCGTCCAGCACCAGGCCCTCTTCACCGCTGGTTCCGTCCAGCACCAAGCCCTCTTCGCCGCTGGTTCCGTCCAGCACCAAGCCCTCTTCGCCGCTGGTTCCATCCAGCACCAGGCCCTCTTCACCGCTGGTTCTGTCCAGCACCAAGCCCTCTTCACCGCTGGTTCTGTCCAGCACCAAGCCCTCTTCGCTGCTAGTTCCGTCCAGCACCAAGCCCTATTCGCCGCTGGTTCCGTCCAGCCCAGCCAAGCCTGCACCGCTGGTTCTGTCCAGCCAATCCGAGCCAGAGCCCGCTGATCCTGCGCCGGAGCCCGCTGATCCTGCGCCGGAGCCCATTCATGCTGCACTTGAGTCTGCTCTGGAAGACACAGCGCTCATTGTGGTGTCCGTGGCTGTTTTGTGTGTGTGGGCAGCACACACATCAACTACAGCCCATGAACCCAGCCTAGAGCTTCCCCGCACGCCTGCCGAGCCAGAGCTTCCCCGCACGCCTGCCGAGCCAGAGCTTCCCCGCACGCCTGCCGAGCCAGAGCTTCCCCGCACGCCTGCCGAGCCAGAGCTTCCCCGCACGCCTGCCGAGCCAGAGCTTCCCCGCACGCCTGCCGAGCCAGAGCTTCCCCGCACGCCTGCCGAGCCAGAGCTTCCCCGCACGCCTGCCGAGCCAGAGCTTCCCCGCACGCCTGCCGAGCCAGAGCTTCCCCGCACGCCTGCCGAGCCAGAGCTTCCCCGCACGCCTGCCGAGCCAGAGCTTCCCCGCACGCCTGCCGAGCCAGAGCTTCCCCGCACGCCTGCCG